ACTGAGCAGCCCCAGGATAGCCTTCGTCTTGCCTGTGCCAGGCGGCCCCTGGATGAGCACCAGGGGGGTGCTGCTGCCACGTGAGCATTACTGACACCATTTTCCCCACGCATACTCTCGCACACACACACTCTCTCACTCATCCCCGTCCACCCACCCACTCACCCAGCATCCCCCATCTCATGCGCCGGCCGCCCATGCAGCACAACACTGAGCAGCCCCAGGATAGCCTTCGTCTTGCCTGTGCCAGGCGGCCCCTGGATGAGCACCAGGGGGGTGCTGCTGCCACGTGAGCATTACTGACACCATTTTCCCCACGCATACTCTCGCACACACACACTCTCTCACTCATCCCCGTCCACCCACCCACTCACCCAGCATCCCCCATCTCATGCGCCGGCCGCCCATGCAGCACAACACTGAGCAGCCCCAGGATAGCCTTCGTCTTGCCTGTGCCAGGCGGCCCCTGGATGAGCACCAGGGGGGTGCTGCTGCCACGTGAGCATTACTGACACCATTTTCCCCACGCATACTCTCGCACACACACACTCTCTCACTCATCCCCGTCCACCCACCCACTCACCCAGCATCCCCCATCTCATGCGCCGGCCGCCCATGCAGCACAACACTGAGCAGCCCCAGGATAGCCTTCGTCTTGCCTGTGCCAGGCGGCCCCTGGATGAGCACCAGGGGGGTGCTGCTGCCACGTGAGCATTACTGACACCATTTTCCCCACGCATACTCTCGCACACACACACTCTCTCACTCATCCCCGTCCACCCACCCACTCACCCAGCATCCCCCATCTCATGCGCCGGCCGCCCATGCAGCACAACACTGAGCAGCCCCAGGATAGCCTTCGTCTTGCCTGTGCCAGGCGGCCCCTGGATGAGCACCAGGGGGGTGCTGCTGCCACGTGAGCATTACTGACACCATTTTCCCCACGCATACTCTCGCACACACACACTCTCTCACTCATCCCCGTCCACCCACCCACTCACCCAGCATCCCCCATCTCATGCGCCGGCCGCCCATGCAGCACAACACTGAGCAGCCCCAGGATAGCCTTCGTCTTGCCTGTGCCAGGCGGCCCCTGGATGAGCACCAGGGGGGTGCTGCTGCCACGTGAGCATTACTGACACCATTTTCCCCACGCATACTCTCGCACACACACACTCTCTCACTCATCCCCGTCCACCCACCCACTCACCCAGCATCCCCCATCTCATGCGCCGGCCGCCCATGCAGCACAACACTGAGCAGCCCCAGGATAGCCTTCGTCTTGCCTGTGCCAGGCGGCCCCTGGATGAGCACCAGGGGGGTGCTGCTGCCACGTGAGCATTACTGACACCATTTTCCCCACGCATACTCTCGCACACACACACTCTCTCACTCATCCCCGTCCACCCACCCACTCACCCAGCATCCCCCATCTCATGCGCCGGCCGCCCATGCAGCACAACACTGAGCAGCCCCAGGATAGCCTTCGTCTTGCCTGTGCCAGGCGGCCCCTGGATGAGCACCAGGGGGGTGCTGCTGCCACGTGAGCATTACTGACACCATTTTCCCCACGCATACTCTCGCACACACACACTCTCTCACTCATCCCCGTCCACCCACCCACTCACCCAGCATCCCCCATCTCATGCGCCGGCCGCCCATGCAGCACAACACTGAGCAGCCCCAGGATAGCCTTCGTCTTGCCTGTGCCAGGCGGCCCCTGGATGAGCACCAGGGGGGTGCTGCTGCCACGTGAGCATTACTGACACCATTTTCCCCACGCATACTCTCGCACACACACACTCTCTCACTCATCCCCGTCCACCCACCCACTCACCCAGCATCCCCCATCTCATGCGCCGGCCGCCCATGCAGCACAACACTGAGCAGCCCCAGGATAGCCTTCGTCTTGCCTGTGCCAGGCGGCCCCTGGATGAGCACCAGGGGGGTGCTGCTGCCACGTGAGCATTACTGACACCATTTTCCCCACGCATACTCTCGCACACACACACTCTCTCACTCATCCCCGTCCACCCACCCACTCACCCAGCATCCCCCATCTCATGCGCCGGCCGCCCATGCAGCACAACACTGAGCAGCCCCAGGATAGCCTTCGTCTTGCCTGTGCCAGGCGGCCCCTGGATGAGCACCAGGGGGGTGCTGCTGCCACGTGAGCATTACTGACACCATTTTCCCCACGCATACTCTCGCACACACACACTCTCTCACTCATCCCCGTCCACCCACCCACTCACCCAGCATCCCCCATCTCATGCGCCGGCCGCCCATGCAGCACAACACTGAGCAGCCCCAGGATAGCCTTCGTCTTGCCTGTGCCAGGCGGCCCCTGGATGAGCACCAGGGGGGTGCTGCTGCCACGTGAGCATTACTGACACCATTTTCCCCACGCATACTCTCGCACACACACACTCTCTCACTCATCCCCGTCCACCCACCCACTCACCCAGCATCCCCCATCTCATGCGCCGGCCGCCCATGCAGCACAACACTGAGCAGCCCCAGGATAGCCTTCGTCTTGCCTGTGCCAGGCGGCCCCTGGATGAGCACCAGGGGGGTGCTGCTGCCACGTGAGCATTACTGACACCATTTTCCCCACGCATACTCTCGCACACACACACTCTCTCACTCATCCCCGTCCACCCACCCACTCACCCAGCATCCCCCATCTCATGCGCCGGCCGCCCATGCAGCACAACACTGAGCAGCCCCAGGATAGCCTTCGTCTTGCCTGTGCCAGGCGGCCCCTGGATGAGCACCAGGGGGGTGCTGCTGCCACGTGAGCATTACTGACACCATTTTCCCCACGCATACTCTCGCACACACACACTCTCTCACTCATCCCCGTCCACCCACCCACTCACCCAGCATCCCCCATCTCATGCGCCGGCCGCCCATGCAGCACAACACTGAGCAGCCCCAGGATAGCCTTCGTCTTGCCTGTGCCAGGCGGCCCCTGGATGAGCACCAGGGGGGTGCTGCTGCCACGTGAGCATTACTGACACCATTTTCCCCACGCATACTCTCGCACACACACACTCTCTCACTCATCCCCGTCCACCCACCCACTCACCCAGCATCCCCCATCTCATGCGCCGGCCGCCCATGCAGCACAACACTGAGCAGCCCCAGGATAGCCTTCGTCTTGCCTGTGCCAGGCGGCCCCTGGATGAGCACCAGGGGGGTGCTGCTGCCACGTGAGCATTACTGACACCATTTTCCCCACGCATACTCTCGCACACACACACTCTCTCACTCATCCCCGTCCACCCACCCACTCACCCAGCATCCCCCATCTCATGCGCCGGCCGCCCATGCAGCACAACACTGAGCAGCCCCAGGATAGCCTTCGTCTTGCCTGTGCCAGGCGGCCCCTGGATGAGCACCAGGGGGGTGCTGCTGCCACGTGAGCATTACTGACACCATTTTCCCCACGCATACTCTCGCACACACACACTCTCTCACTCATCCCCGTCCACCCACCCACTCACCCAGCATCCCCCATCTCATGCGCCGGCCGCCCATGCAGCACAACACTGAGCAGCCCCAGGATAGCCTTCGTCTTGCCTGTGCCAGGCGGCCCCTGGATGAGCACCAGGGGGGTGCTGCTGCCACGTGAGCATTACTGACACCATTTTCCCCACGCATACTCTCGCACACACACACTCTCTCACTCATCCCCGTCCACCCACCCACTCACCCAGCATCCCCCATCTCATGCGCCGGCCGCCCATGCAGCACAACACTGAGCAGCCCCAGGATAGCCTTCGTCTTGCCTGTGCCAGGCGGCCCCTGGATGAGCACCAGGGGGGTGCTGCTGCCACGTGAGCATTACTGACACCATTTTCCCCACGCATACTCTCGCACACACACACTCTCTCACTCATCCCCGTCCACCCACCCACTCACCCAGCATCCCCCATCTCATGCGCCGGCCGCCCATGCAGCACAACACTGAGCAGCCCCAGGATAGCCTTCGTCTTGCCTGTGCCAGGCGGCCCCTGGATGAGCACCAGGGGGGTGCTGCTGCCACGTGAGCATTACTGACACCATTTTCCCCACGCATACTCTCGCACACACACACTCTCTCACTCATCCCCGTCCACCCACCCACTCACCCAGCATCCCCCATCTCATGCGCCGGCCGCCCATGCAGCACAACACTGAGCAGCCCCAGGATAGCCTTCGTCTTGCCTGTGCCAGGCGGCCCCTGGATGAGCACCAGGGGGGTGCTGCTGCCACGTGAGCATTACTGACACCATTTTCCCCACGCATACTCTCGCACACACACACTCTCTCACTCATCCCCGTCCACCCACCCACTCACCCAGCATCCCCCATCTCATGCGCCGGCCGCCCATGCAGCACAACACTGAGCAGCCCCAGGATAGCCTTCGTCTTGCCTGTGCCAGGCGGCCCCTGGATGAGCACCAGGGGGGTGCTGCTGCCACGTGAGCATTACTGACACCATTTTCCCCACGCATACTCTCGCACACACACACTCTCTCACTCATCCCCGTCCACCCACCCACTCACCCAGCATCCCCCATCTCATGCGCCGGCCGCCCATGCAGCACAACACTGAGCAGCCCCAGGATAGCCTTCGTCTTGCCTGTGCCAGGCGGCCCCTGGATGAGCACCAGGGGGGTGCTGCTGCCACGTGAGCATTACTGACACCATTTTCCCCACGCATACTCTCGCACACACACACTCTCTCACTCATCCCCGTCCACCCACCCACTCACCCAGCATCCCCCATCTCGTGTGTGGGCCAACCGTGAAGAACCACACTCAACAGTCCCAGGATGGCCTGAGTCTTGCCCGTCCCAGGGGGCCCCTGGAAGAGCACGAGGGGGCGGCGGGACAGCCCGCCCTTGATGGCCCTTAGCTGCGACTCGTTGTGACTGGATGGAAGCTAGATGCCCCATCAGCCCGTCTTCCACCAACCCACTTATCCACCCACTCACCTGGCATCTCCCATTTCATGTGCTGGCCGGCCATGCAGCACGACACTCAATAACCCCAGGATGGCCTGCGTCTTGCCTGTGCCAGGCGGCCCCTGGATGAGCACCAGGGGGCGGCGCGACAGCCCGCCCTTGATGGCCCTCAGCTGCGACTCGTTGTGACTCGCTGTCAGGTGCTCCATCAACCCCTCCGGTACCCGCCACTGCTGCTGCTGCTTCCCCTGCCCCGTGCCTCCCTCTCCCTCCTCCTCCTCCTCCTCCTCCTCCTCCTGCTCCTGCTGCTTCTCCTGTGCCTGCCTGGTTCTGTGCATGTCCAGGCATGTGGGAGGCGAGGACAGTGCGGATGTAGGGCAGCGAGGGGGCGGAGCGGAGAGCAGCATACTCGCGCGAGATGGTGGACGTGTTGCACAGCTTGCTCACCCAGCACGCACTGCCCCCTGCTGCTGCCGCCCCCATCAGGAACGACAGCATCCGGTTGGCTCGCGCCCGCTGCCGCATCCCCCACCTCCTCCCCTTCCCCTTCCCCTCGGCCGGCCTTGCTTCTGCGCCCTCCCCTCCTGCCCCTGTTCCTCCGGCCTGGTCCTCGTCTGTTGCTGCTGCGGTGGTGGTGGGAGCCCCCCCTGCGTCCGTCCACTGCCAGGGGTCCTCGAGGCACAGTCGCAGGCGCAGGGAGGTTTTGGTGTCACGGGACTCCACGCTGGCGATGGCGTATGTGCTGGGAAGCGCGCTGCCTCCCCATGGCTGTTGTGGGAGAGAGAGGGGAGGGAGAGAGGGAAGTGAGCGAAGGGGGGGTAAGGCTGGAAGGGGAGAAAGTGGTACTTTGGTCTCACGGGCCTCGACACTGGCGATGGCGTACGTGCTGGTGAACGCGCTGCCGCCCCATTGCTGTGGAGGGAGAGAGGGGAGGGGAGAGGGATGAGATGAAAGGGGAAGGGAAGGGGGGGGGGCGAGCGGGAAAGAACGGGGTGAGCACCTTTCCCTTGGCGAAGCTGCGCTTCAACGCGGCTCCAGCGGGCTCCAGCGAGTTGAAGCTTGGCACTCCTACGAGGCCGCCAAGCTGCTGAAGGAATACCGCTAGCAATGGAGAGCGTGTGCCTCCAGCGGGCACAGGCCAATGCCCTCTGCTCCAAGACCAACGAGGCCGTGGCTGCGGATGAGCTCGGCTCGGCTTGGCTTGCAGGGGCCCTTTGACCCCCTTAGTGAAGGGCAGTTGCACCAGCTGATTGAGCCCCCGTTCGATCACTAGGGTCGGACAGAGGGGGGCGGGAGTGGGTAGGAATGGGTGTGGTCAGTATGATACTGGTTTGTTTGTTTGTTTGGTTGCTTGCCTTGCATGTGTCTGCATCTTCCGTTGTATCACCCCTTTTTTTGGACAAGGACCGTTCGAGGGAGGGAGGGATCGGGAGAGGGAACAGAAGCAACACCTTTTCCTTGGGGAGCGCAGTCGAAGTCAAGGGCGCTCTCCGGAGGCGGAGAGGAGGAGAGACGCGTGCGGACCAGGGCGCGCGGGCGGACCAGGGTGCGCGGGCGGACCAGGGTGCGCGGGCGGACCAGGGTGCGCGGGCGGACCAGGGTGCGCGCGCGGACCAGGGAAACCGGGAAACCGGGTAACCGGGAAACCGGGTAACCGGGAAACCAGGTAACCGGGAAACCGGGTAGCCGGGTAGCCGGGTAGCCGGGAAACCGGGAAACCGGGAAACCGGGAAACCGGGCAACCGGGCAACCGGGAAACCGGGCAACCGGGAAACCGGGAAACCGGGAAACCGGGAAACCGGGCAACCGGGCAACCGGGAAACCGGGAAACCGGGCAACCGGGAAACCGGGCAACCGGGCAACCGGGCAACCGGGCAACCGGGAAACCGGGAAACCGGGAAACCGGGCAACCGGGCAACCGGGCAACCGGGCAACCGGGAAACCGGGCAACCGGGCAACCGGGAAACCGGGCAACCGGGAAACCGGGAAACCGGGCAACTGGGAAACCGGGCAACTGGGCAACCGGGCAACCGGGCAACCGGGCAACCGGGAAACCGGGAAACCGGGTAGCCGGGAAACCGGGCAACCGGGCAACCGGGCAACCGGGCAACCGGGCAACCGGGCAACCGGGCAACCGGGCAACCGGGCAACCGGGAAACCGGGAAACCGGGAAACCGGGAAACCGGGTAGCCGGGAAACCGGGCAACCGGGCAACCGGGCAACCGGGCAACCGGGCAACCGGGCAACCGGGCAACCGGGAAACCGGGCAACCGGGAAACCGGGAAACCGGGAAACCGGGAAACCGGGCAACCGGGAAACCGGGAAACCGGGCAACCGGGCAACCGGGCAACCGGGCAACCGGGAAACCGGGAAACCGGGAAACCGGGCAACCGGGCAACCGGGCAACCGGGCAACCGGGAAACCGGGCAACCGGGAAACCGGGCAACCGGGCAACCGGGCAACCGGGCAACCGGGAAACCGGGAAACCGGGAAACCGGGCAACCGGGCAACCGGGAAACCGGGCAACCGGGCAACCGGGCAACCGGGAAACCGGGCAACCGGGAAACCGGGAAACCGGGCAACCGGGAAACCGGGCAACCGGGCAACCGGGCAACCGGGCAACCGGGCAACCGGGAAACCGGGAAACCGGGTAGCCGGGAAACCGGGCAACCGGGCAACCGGGCAACCGGGCAACCGGGCAACCGGGAAACCGGGCAACCGGGAAACCGGGAAACCGGGAAACCGGGAAACCGGGCAACCGGGCAACCGGGCAACCGGGAAACCGGGAAACCAGGAAACCGGGAAACCGGGAAACCGGGAAACCGGGCAACCGGGAAACCGGGCAACCGGGCAACCGGGCAACCGGGCAACCGGGAAACCGGGAAACCGGGAAACTGGGTAGCCGGGAAACTGGGTAGCCGGGAAACCGGGCAACCGGGCAACCGGGCAACCGGGCAACCGGGCAACCGGGCAACCGGGAAACCGGGCAACCGGGAAACCGGGAAACCGGGAAACCGGGAAACCGGGCAACCGGGAAACCGGGCAACCGGGCAACCGGGCAACCGGGAAACCGGGAAACCGGGAAACCGGGAAACCGGGAAACCGGGCAACCGGGAAACTGGGCAACCGGGCAACCGGGCAACCGGGAAACCGGGCAACCGGGAAACCGGGAAACCGGGCAACCGGGAAACCGGGCAACCGGGCAACCGGGCAACCGGGAAACCGGGAAACCGGGTAGCCGGGAAACAGGGCTACCGGGCAACCGGGCAACCGGGCAACCGGGCAACCGGGCAACCGGGAAACCGGGCAACCGGGCAACCGGGCAACCGGGCAACCGGGTAGCCGGGAAACCGGGCAACCGGGCAACCGGGCAACCGGGCAACCGGGCAACCGGGAAACCGGGCAACCGGGAAACCGGGAAACCGGGAAACCGGGCAACCGGGAAACCGGGCAACCGGGCAACCGGGCAACCGGGCAACCGGGCAACCGGGAAACCGGGAAACCGGGAAACCGGGAAACCGGGCAACCGGGCAACCGGGAAACCGGGAAACCGGGCAACCGGGCAACCGGGCAACCGGGCAACCGGGAAACCGGGCAACCGGGCAACCGGGCAACCGGGCAACCGGGCAACCGGGCAACCGGGCAACCGGGAAACCGGGTAGCCGGGAAACCGGGCAACCGGGAAACCGGGAAACCGGGAAACCGGGAAACCGGGCAACCGGGCAACCGGGCAACCGGGCAACCGGGCAACCGGGCAACCGGGCAACCGGGAAACCGGGCAACCGGGAAACCGGGCAACCGGGAAACCGGGCAACCGGGCAACCGGGCAACCGGGAAACCGGGCAACCGGGAAACCGGGAAACCGGGCAACCGGGCAACCGGGCAACCGGGCAACCGGGCAACCGGGCAACCGGGAAACCGGGAAACCGGGAAACCGGGAAACCGGGCAACCGGGCAACCGGGCAACCGGGCAACCGGGCAACCGGGAAACCGGGCAACCGGGAAACCGGGCAACCGGGAAACCGGGCAACCGGGCAACCGGGCAACCGGGCAACCGGGAAACCGGGCAACCGGGAAACCGGGAAACCGGGAAACCGGGAAACCGGGAAACCGGGGAACCGGGGAAACCGGGGAACCGGGGAAACCGGGAAACTGGGAAACCGGGAAACCGGGAAAACCGGGAAACCGGGAAACCGGGGAACCGGGAAACCGGGAAACCGGGAAACCGGGAAACCGGGATACCGGGAAACCGGAAAACCGGGAAAGGGAGGCCAGGATACCGGGAAACTGGGATACCGGACCAAGGCGCGCGCTCGGTCCAAGCCGCGCGCGCAGACCAAGGATCGCGGGAGGACCAAGCTGCGTGCACGGACCAAGTCGCGCGTGGTTCATGTCGCGCGCGTGAAGCAAGTCGCACGCGGGACCTCGGAGAAGAGGAGTACAGGAGGAGAGGAGGAGCGTGCGTGATCTCACCTTTTCCTTGGAGAGCAGCAGCAGGTCGTTGTCGTGACAGTCCGCCACGAGTGCCTCTTTAGACGTAAGGAGGTGGAAAGATGGAGAGGAAGAGAGGAGGAGGAAAGAGCAGCGACTCACCTTTTCCTTGGAGAGCAGCAGCAGGTCGTTGTCATGACAGTCCGCCACGAGTGCCTCCTTGGATGCCACCCCCACCATGTGGAACTCGTTGGCCCTCTCACAGCGCACCGCCACCACCAGATGACTCTCCATGCGTCCTGGCACGAGGGGAGACACGGAGGCCACGTGGGTGGAAAGAAGAGAGGGGGAGCCGGGTAAGATAAGATGATGGGGAGAGGGAGAAACAGATGAGAGGCACACGAGCTCACAGCGCACCGCCACCACCAGATGACTCTCCATGCGTCCTGCCACGAGGGGAGACACAAGGGAGGAGTGGAGAGGCCCCAGCAAGCACTTGCCACTTGGGCAGGCAGGAGAGGGCAGGGGGTAACAGCCAGGAGCACTTGGTCAAGAGCTTGTGGGACGAGCAAGCTTTCGTCGCGGGAAGCTTTTGGCAAGAGCATACACAGACCACCCCACCTCTCTCTCCTCTCCCGTCCCCCATTTTCACCTTGCTCTTCCGCCCCTCGGAGGATCTGCACGCGGCACTCCTCCAGCAGCAGGCGTTCAAACACATCCACATACTCCTCAACAACATGCCCATGTGCCCATGCAATCATGCGCATCATGGCAACGCAGTGCCTCCGAGTGCCTTCCTCCCACTGCCTCCTATTGCCAGCAGTGGAATGCACTCATTCGCATACACAGCAAAGCCCCCTCTCCCCCCCATTCTACCCCCCCTCCTCTCACCTTGCTCCTCGGCGCCTCGGAGGATCTGCGCGCGGCATTCCTCCAGCAGCAGTCGTTCAAACACATCCACATACTCCTCTGCGCTGCTGAACTGCACCGGCACCTCCCTCAACTCCTCCTCCTCCCCGCCCTCCACCTCCCCCTCCCCCTCTGCTGCCTCTGCTGCCTCCTCCGCTTCCTCTGCTGCTGCCTCTGCTGTTTCTTCTGCTGCTGCCCCGCCTTCCCCCTCCCCTGCCTCTCCGCCGTCCACCTCCATCCCTTCCCCCTGCGCCCCTAACGCCCCTGCTGCCTCCGCGCCTGCCTCTGCATCAGCCAGAGCAGCATCCGTACTTCCATCAGCCTCCCTTTCCTCGCCCTCCTTCTCCTCCACTTGGAGCAGCAGCAGCAGCAGCAGCAGGGAGTTGGGGGAGCTTTCTGGGCTGCCGCTTCCTCTCCCTCACCTGCTCGTGCGCACACAGTGCCATATGCGACAGGGGATGGGGAGAAGGGGCAACAGTGGGAAGAGGGGACGCGCTGGCGTGATGGGAGAGGAACTGTAGCACGAGAGTCCGGGAGTGTAGAGAGCGAGCGCACCTTGGAGAGTGCGAGCATGTGGAAGAAGTCCCAGCTCAGCACGGTGCGCAGCAGCCGCGCCGTGCTCGCCGCCTTCTCCCCGCCCGCCTCCTTCCCGCCCCGCCCGCCGCCCGCTCCGCCCGCCACTGCGCCCACCGCCATCCCGCCTTCCCACAGACTCCGCGCGCGCGCGCGCTCGTTCGATGGCTACAGCTATCCCTCGCTCACTTCTTCACGTGCGCGCGCGTGTTCGTTCTCCTGGCATGCGGCGCCTACAGCTGCTGCTGTGCTTTTGAGGCGCCTCAAAAAGGGGCGCCTACAGCTGCAGCTGCTGCTGTGCTCTGCTGCTCGCTGCCGCTGCGCGATGTTGCGGTCTAACTCGCAACGACCCGCCGTTTGTGGCGCAAAAATCTAGCAACAGACGCTGTGGCATGATCAATGTCGAAGGGGAGAGTTCGGTTCACCGAGTTTTTATGTTTGTTGGGCTCTCAAACCCTCCACAAAGTTCGCGTACTATCGGCTTCTCGAGACCGACAATATCAGGTACAAAAATCTGCAGGGTACAAGGTTCAGGGTTTACGAAATTTGGCGCGCGGTTTATTTCTCAATCCCATTTCCGCTCCAATCCACCACTAATCTCGCGCCATCTCGCAGTATGGCTCCCCGTCGCACACCGCCTCGCGCTCATGCACACTGACGCGCGATAAGGCACGCGTCTCCTTAGTGCAGTCGAGCGGCGCGCGCGGGGAGGGCCAAGCCGCAGGGGCGCCATGGCAACCCCCTTGGCGCAGGCGCGCGCACCGTATTGCGCACCCACTGCGCGCGCACACTGTGCCGATGTTCCGCCAGAAGTCTCCGCTCGGACATGCGCACCGGGTTTGCGCGGAGGATTCCCGGCCCTCCCCGCGCGTACCGTCTGCTCGGCGCGTGCTGGCGTGGCGCGGTCGTGGGAACGAATTGCGGCGCGCCGCTTCAGTCTCCCGCAAGGGCTGTGCTTATATCGGGGCTTTCGATTGACGGGGAATCTTTGCTTAGACCGTCGTAGTGTTTGTCGAATCGGCGCAGGGGCACATGCTGGGCGGATATGCGCAACTGCGGGAGAGAGGCGGAGAGGCGGAAACGCGCAGCAGGTGAAGGGCGGACGGACTGGCGGAGAAGATGAGATGAAAGCGGGGAAGGGGAATGCGAAGGGGAAGGGGAAGGGGGAGGGGAGGTACCGGGGGGGAGGGGCAGCGGAGAGGCAGACCCTGCGGGGGCTGATTGCACTTGAGCGGGCGTTGGATGGGGAAAGGCGGGGGGACATTGCGCAAGGGGCGGCGGAGGGGGATGGCACGCGCGGAGGGCAGGGGGAGGAGAAGTGCAAGCGGCGGGTTGTGCTGCTGCGGTGCGACCTGAGTGACCTGGTGGAGGGGGGGGATGCGAGGAAAGCGGAGGAGGGGGAGGGGGAGGGGGAGGGAGATAGGGAGGAGGAACACGAGGTGCGGAGTGTGGGCAGTTTGAGGGTGATGCTGCGCGAGTGGGCGCGGAGATACGCGCTGGTGGTGGTGGTGGCGGGGGAGTGGCCTCCTGACACGGCCTCTCAACATGCTGTCGCTGGTGAGGCATGAGGCATGATGAGGCATGATGAGGCATGATGAGGCATGATGAGGCATGATGAGGCATGATGAGGCATGATGAGGCGTGATGAGGCACGAGGCATGGGAGTGGGAGGACGCTTTTATATTGTGCTAAAACCCCCTCTCTTCCTCCTGTTGCTCCCTCCCGCCTCCCCATGTGCAGCCCTGCTATCCGCGGCATGCGGCCTGCCCCAGTCCCAGCCTGTCCAGGTCGCACCTCTGCACTTCGCTCCCCTTCTCGCAACCCCAGCACCACCAGCAACCGACCCCGGTTCCCCCTCTCATCCAACCCACTCCCCTCCCCCCACGCCCCCCCCTCCTCGCGTCCTGCTGCTGCCCAACCTCCGCCACGTGTCATCCACCGATGCCGCCAACTCACCCTCCTTAGCTGCCACGCTGGCAGGCGTGGCAGAAGAACCAGACAGCACAGCAGCAGCGCCGCAGGAGGATTCAAAAGAGCCAATCCCCCGCCCTACTCTGCGCGTGTCTGCGTGCCCGGTGGTAGATCTCGTGGTGCTGGACGCGCCTTCCGCGTGCCACCGTGTGCTGGCATCCTCTGTGGGCGTGGCGGCGGTGGTGGGGCGAGCCGTGGCCGGGCTGAGAGTGGACCGCGAGCTCATGGGGGTGCTGGGGGGCTTGGGGGAAGTGTGGGGGGACGTGGGAGCGTTGGGGAAAATGGCAAGAGGGGAGTCAGGGGAGGGCGGTAGTGGTGAGGGGCGCAGTGCGGTGGTGGCGGTGGTGGGAGCGGCGAGCATGGGTCGCAGTGGTGCATTGATCCGCGCTCTCCTGCCTCGCTGCCATGCCCTCGTGCTCTCCGGCCCCGTGCTTCCTGCCCTCCTCGCTGCTGCTAATGCTGCTAATGCTGCTAATGCTGCTAATGCTGCTAATGCTGCTAATGCTGCTAATGCTGGTACTGCTTCTGCTGGGTCTGCTGGTTGTGGACTACACCTCGCCCGCCTGCCTGAGTTCCCTACCCTCGCCACACTGCACTGCAGCGATCCAGCAGCAGCACTTGGTGAATCACACAGATATGGGACAGCAGAGAGCGAGGCAGGAACAGCGAGCGATGAAGGAGCAGAGGGAGGGGAGGCAGCGGGTCCACATACCCACATCTCGTCCCTCCTAGCCACTCTCCCCCGGCCTTCCCCACAAGCCCTGGCGGAAGCCTCTGCGTTCCTCTCCTCGCTGCCCCCTGCCCTCCTCTCCCGCCTCGTGCTGCCTCTTGCTGTGCTTGTGGTACCTGCTAACCACACCTCTAGCATTGGTACTCACTCCCAACAGCACCACAACCAGCAGCAACAACAGCAGCAGCAGCAGGAAGAGCAGGTGGAGCTGTGCGTTTCAAGCATTGAAGACATTGCTCGCCTCTGTGATGCTCTCAATTGCCAGGTCCGCCCGCACCCTCCTTCCCCGCATCCTCCCCCTAATCTCCGCATTTTCCCCACCTCTCCACATCCCCTACCTTCTCCACATGTTCCCTCATGGCTCTCATCACACTGCTACACCTGTATGTATCCCCCCCCCACCTCTGAGACCTTCCACATTCGCTCTCCTCCGTTTCTCCCTCCATTTGGTTCTCCCCCTATGAGTCCAACAGACAGTCTTCTGGGCTGGCTCCATCTCCCTGCACCCAACAAAAGAGGCGTCAGTGTCACGGCAGAGCAACCATGCATCATCGCATGGGTCACATGGGTCACATGGGGATTATGGGTTACAGCATGGCTCAGACCATGGTCCGCCTTGTGCCGATTCTGCTCTGCTCGCCCATCTCACCACCGCAACCACCAGCAAAAGCAACAGCACGAGTAGTCTTCGTCCTGCCTCCAGCACTGCCACCATCCCTGCTGCTTCTACTGCTGCTTCTGCTGATCAATTGTGCCGGCCCAAGCTCATGGTGGCTGGGCGGCAGCTGCAGCAGGTGCTGGGCCGGCAGTTACGGCAGCATGTGAAGGTGGCGGGGAGGGAGGGGAGGAGAGATGGGGATGGGGAGGGGGCGAGGGAGTGTGTGGTGGTGGATGGAGGCACGGCTCTGCTTCGAGGATTGCAAGGGATGCCTCTGCCTGGCGTTGACTGCCTTGACTTTGTGAGTTGACTGCCTGAGTTGACTGGCGTTCCCTGCATTCACTAGTAATGAACCAGTCATAGCCAGCACCACTGTACTGTGCTACCTCCTCCTCTCATCTTCCCACCTATCTCTCCTCTACCGCCTTCCTCTCCCACCTCTCGCAGGTGCCACTGCCGCCTCCTGATTGGTCCACAGTCTTCCTCGACCCCTCGCTCCCTCTCACTGTTGACATCGGCTGTGGTGAGTGCGAGAGTTGCGCATGGCTGGGAGACTCAGACATTTTGCAAGTGATTAAGAGAATAAAAATCATCGCAGCAGGTTCACAGAGATTTACAAAGAACCTACACTGTGCATCCTGTGTGGCCTTTGCTGTGTATGCCCGCGTGCATGTGTGTGTGCACATGTGTGCAGGCAACGGGCGCTTCTGTCGCAGCATGGCTGGGCGGTTCAGAGGGGCGAGGAACTTTCTTGGGGTGGAGATCAACCCACATGTGCGTGCTGGGGTAGCGGGGGTAGCGGCCAACGAGGCATATGTGCAAGTGGCACATGGGCCAGTAGCATTCGTCATCCCTCCTCGTGCTGCCAGCTTGATGCTCCTCCATCACTCTCACTCTCACTCTCACTTGCTCCTTCACTCTCCTGAATTTACCACCCTCCACCCTACCTCTCACTCTCTCACTCTCACTCGCCCCATTCCATCTCACCTATGGTCCTAGCTAGTTTGCAAGTCGCTTTCGTACTTTCTTTCACTCTGACTCTCACTCCCAGTCTTCTCGCCCCTCTCCGTCTCGCCCCCCTCCGTCTCACCCCCCAGTTGGTGCGGAAAGCACTCTCACTAGCTGCCGGCACTTTTTCAACTCATGATGAGGACGCGGAGAGCACTGGCAGGGACACTCAAGAGCAGCGCAGGGAGCACTCAACCAGCAACGCGTATGTCATCTCATGACATAAAATGTCATGTTGATTCCTCCTTGCTACTTTTCTATCAATTCAAAGCCACCCATTCTGGCCTACCCTTGTGGTGCCATACCGCCTGTATTCTTCTGCTGGCAACTGGTGTCTTCTGACCTTCTCCCTCTCTGCCTTTTCTCTCTGCCTGCCCTCCTGGTGGTGCGTGCAGGTGGTTCATTCATGCCAACGCCACCACGTCGCTGCATGCACTTCTAGTCGGCTACCCTGGCCCCATCAACCTCATCACCATCCAGGTGTCTCTCCACCCCGCATATCCCTGAAGTGTGTTGAGAGTGGACTCACAACTCATCCCTGCCCCATCCACCTCCGCAGCTTTCAGCTCCCCATCCCAATTTTCCATCTCCGTTTAAAAAGGGTGTCTGACGTTCCGTTTCGCCTAGACATTCTTTCAACGTCCCCTTGCCCCTCTCTCGCCCATGGCAGTGCCCAGACCCGGACTTTGCAGCGAGCAGGAGGGCGCAGGAGAGGGGCACAGCACACGTGCACCGGTGGGGCATGCTCACCCCTGCCCTCGTGCACGCCATGCTTGCCCTGCTGCACCCCTCTGGCAAGGTGAGCAACCCCTGCGATACAAACAAACATGTGTGTCGTGCCGTTTTTCTGTGCCTTTTTTTTGTATAAATGTCATCTTTTTTGCATTGAACCTGTCTGCTAGACCGCCTTTCATAATGACTCTCCCGCGCCTTGCCACGCGCCCACTCTCTCTCATCTGCAGATTCTGATCGAGTCAGACATTGAGGAGGTTGCAACACGGCTCACATACGATGCCATTAGATGGTCCCAAGCTGAACTCGTGCTGTGCAATGGCAATGACTGTGCCAGTAATTGCAATGGCCTTTCAGATCCTGACATGGCAGAGGGAATTGGTGCTAAAGTTACCCAGCGCTCTTCTGCACCACAAGAATCTTTGGTTGCAGAAGTGGAGTCAGATTGGGAAGTGCATGCAAAGAAAAAGGGTCGGTGTATGACAACATACTGGCTCCAAAAGAGATGTAGTGCATGATGTATTCATTCATTATTGGAAAATATCAAGTCCAACTTCAGGAACATCACTACTATCGGGTTCCTGCCTGGGTCTTTGACGAGTACGCACCAACCAGACAAAACAGCTTTGAGCTGGAAGCGAACAAACTAATCATCTTATCCAGGCTAGACCCAATTGTCGTAAACAGTCCGTATCAATCGCGCGACGCGGCTGAGTCGCCGCAATCGATGGTGGCTGCCATGGCAGTTGCATGGCGATGTCGCAGCGTGCTATCTCTTATCGCTGTGGCTTTCTCTCTCCTGCTGCTCCTGTCGCACGTCGCCTCCGCTGCGCGCCTTTCAACGGGCAATGACGCTAAACGCGAGGGTCTTTCGCGCGTTATCGCATCAGCTTATACCGGGATTGTATCTTCTGCTGTTGAATTCGACCCGATTAAGGAGTCTGAGACTCCTGGTCGCGTCGTTGCTAGGGTTTTGAAAGCGAAGAAGAAAAAGAAGAAGTCGACGACTAAGACCGCGAAAGCAGCGGCGATCGCGGAGGAAGAAGAAGGGATCGCGGCCGACGCGGAGAGAGGAGCGGCGGATGATGCGGCCGACGCTGAAGTCGCGCGAGACGAGGGGGACGACGAGGAGTCTCGATTGGTTAAGAAGAAGAAGAAGACGACAAAGAAAGCGAAGAAAACTAAGAAGACGGGAAGCAAGAAGGCTGTCGAGTCTGTGAGGGAAGCGGAGGGGGAAGAGGAGGCGGAGGGGGGAGAAGTTGCGGATACGGGGAGGAGAGCGGGTAGGAAGAGCGGAGAAGGGGAAAGCGGAAATGGGGAGGAAGAGGAAGGTTTTTCCGCTGTGGATAAAGCGATGGCAGAGGCGGAAGCGGTGATTGCGGGGAAGGCGGGAGATGCGGAGGAAGGGGACGGGGCGGGGGAGGGGGAGCGACCGAAGAGAGTGAAGGGGAAGAAGAGTGGGGCGAGGGAGGGGGACGGAGGGGAGGAGGGGAGTGATGAGGAGGAAAGCGGTGAGGGTGTGGTAACGACAAAGTCAAGCAAGTCAAGAGAGTCGAGCCAATCAAGTAAGTCCACAAGAGCAGCACGGGGGGGAGAAGCTGAAGGGGAACAGCAGGAGGCGGACGGCGAGGAGCGTGAGGTTGGTGACCGTGAGAGGGGTGATGGGGATGAGGGAGATGAGGGGGGAGCAGCAGGTGCAGCGAGAGCTAGGAAGAAAAAGAAGAAGTTGAAGAAGCAAACAGAGGAGGAGGATGGGGAAGGGGAAGGGGGCGGTAAGGAGGAGGGGGGGACAGGAGCAGCGCGGGCTGCTGAGGACGAGGAGGGGGCAGGATCAGATGGGGAGGGCGAGAGCACGACAGAGAGCACGACGAAACGCAGCAGCGAGGACAGGGACCAGGGTGGGAGTGGGGGAGGGAGCGGGGAGAGAGAGACAGCAGACGGAGCAGCGGCGACAGCAGGAGGTGCGGGAACAGGAGAAAGCGGGGGAAAGGGGGGAGTCGGGGGGGAAGGCGGACGAGCGGGAGAGGAGGGTGGCAGAGGGCGAGCGGAGGGAGTGGGGTCGGAGATACAGGTGGCGTTCACGGGACCACAGGACGTGATGGACGTGCCAGTGGACGAGGAGATGGTCTCCGTTGATGTCACTGATGTGCCGCCTGACCCTGAACCCCAGCCATCCACTCTTGCTGCTGATTCAGATGCTGCCGATGCTGGCGATGCGGCAGGGAACCAGGCACAGGGGGACGCTGAAGGGGCGATTTCCGGTGGTGATGGCATCGGTGGTGGCGGTGCCGATGGTGGTGCCGCCTCTGCTGAGGGAGGTTATGGGAAAGCTGCGGCGGAGGGTGGGGATGCAGAGCAGGAAGCGGGGTTCCTCGCCCGCTGGGTCATCGGACCCCTGGCTGCAACCCTGGAACCCATTCTCGCCCCTCTCTACCCCCTCACATCCCTCTTCCTCTCGCCTGGGCAAACTGTGCTCCTTGCTGCTTCCCTTGCCCTGCTCGCCGGCTGCTGCTGCTGCCTCTGCTGCTGCCGCTCCCTCTCCCGCCTCGTGAGTACCAGCCATGGGGTAGCAACAGGGGGCAGCGGCAGCTGGTTCGGCGGGAGGCACGGGCCAGGTGCGGCGTACTCTGAGGTGGCTCGGCAGGAGGTGAATTTGTCTGAGGCGTTTGGACAGCAGATTCCAGGGGAAGGGAAGCAGGGAGGAGCAGAAAGGAGCCGGACGGATGGTGGGTCAGAGTGGGATGAGTGGGACGAGGAATGGGGGGGTGCGAGAGGCGGGGGTGGAGGAGGGAGAGAGAAGGAGGTGGGGAGCGTGGGAAGTGGAGGGAGAGGAGTTGGTGGTGGGGATGGGTATAGCTCAGGAGAAGGAGGAGCTAGAGGTGGGGCGAGGAAAGGGGGCAAGCTGGTAGTGAGCAAGGGGACAGGGGCAGCTGGCAAGGAAGGGTGGAAGTCATGAGATGAATATGGTACCAGGAACAGGTTTGCGTTGTATGCTACAAGCTTGTTGAGTATCATACCATAACTACACCATTTTTTCCATAGCGAGGAACTTCATCATTCTACAGTGCACAAAGGCACTACCCATGCTTTCTCTGCAACGGGCTTTCTCAGAGCTCAGTTCAAATTTCCTCATTCTCACCTCGAGCTCAGTGCACGGCACCTCAAGTCCTTCAGGTTCAGGGTCTCGCTGCAAGAGGATGCAAGGGCAACTGCAACAGAGCTCTGGCTTTTGATACGAGTCGCAGTTCTACATGCATGCAATGCAACCACACAAGCTCGTTGTAAATCCGGAGCCCGAGGTAGTGCTTTTTCTTCCACTGGTAACGCATATCGTTGATCTCTGTACGGTGCAATATCATCCACGTCCTGTTGTCTATCGTATTGCATCCCATCCCATAGCTGCGGTACCAGAATTGTCTCTCAGGAAGTATGCTACAGAAGAACATCAAAGGCTTTAGAACGAGCTGATTGTTTAAAATGCAACAGAAAGGAGCCATGAGTGTAGTGCTGATAAGAAAGCCCAAGAACTACTGGATTGTAAAATCGGTTAGTCTTTGGTAGCTTATGCCCTGGTGCCTTCGAAGCAGGATGTGAACACATCAGAACAGAAGCATGTGGCACGTGGGTAAAGCAGTAGCAGATGCGTTGACGCCGATGGCACATCAGCGAAGCCAGTGGTGACATGTAACTCATCACGGCTACATGATGAGCAGGTACATGGTTACTTGTCGGTAAGCATGTAGGGTTGCCTACTCATCATTATGAGAATCACCTCCACTGCCTTGCCCCTGCTGGATGGTGCACACATGGCAGAGAAGCAGAGAGGAGGAGAGGCAGAGAGGCTTGTGTGGGGCAATGACAGAGGGACAGAGGCACAGGTGGGAAAGACGTGAAAGGAGAAACATGGCGGTGCATGAAAGCAACTACAATGTGACAGGTGCAACTGCAAAGTCTAGTGATCGGTGGGAAAAACGGAGGAGACAGGAGAGAGGACAGAAGAGAAAAAAGAGAGGAGAGGGAGAGAGAGAGAGACGAGAGAGAAGGGAGGAGAAAGGAGGGAGGGGGGAGGAGAGAGGAGAAAGGAGGAAGGGCCACGTGAGACAACTGCTTCTCATCATGCATGCGCCCCTCCCTACTGCGTCTCCTCTTTCTCCCTTTTCACTTCTGACAGGAGGACCCGAGGCTGTGCAATGGAAGGGAAGTGTGCAGGGTTGTTGTTAAAGGGAGGATGCATGATATGTGAGGGAGGAGGTGGAATTGCAGATGGGGATGAGGTGGATGGGGTTGCACTGGGGTTGCGTATGGGGCAGGGCATGGGTTTGAGGTGAGAATCTTTGGGCATGGGGCTGGGCATAGATGGCATGTAATCGAGGATGTATGGCATGTGAATATGGCAGGGTGCCATGGCAGTGCACATGGGACGATGCTGCAGATGCGTGTGGAGAGGGGATGTGGGGTTGGGAAGAGGCGCCATCAACGTGGGAGGGGGCGGTGAGCGGAGAGAATGTGGGGGAGCAGCAGGAGGAGAGGGCACAAGAAGCATAGCTGAAACATACTTACACCCTTGTGTTTCCAATTCACAGTCCGTTCACCTCACGGTCTAAGTAACCACGTTCACCTTCCAACTAACCACACCTCCATATCACTCACCCTTCGTTTCCTTTTCGACACTTCAAGCTTCTCCTTAAGTGCCTGTACTCTGACTTTGAGCTACACATTGTCACCCAAGGAGAAACATACACACAATTTTTGTGAGACCAACATGTGCGGATTAAGGGGACGTATATTGCGGCAAGCATAACAAAGACTTGGGCAATGACAGAAATATAGAGCAACAAAAATTGTAGGAAATTGGAAAAACCAGGGGAACTAGGAACAAGGGGGGTGGTATTAGCAAGCTCAAAATCTGCAGGCATAAACATGAGTAAATATATTATTTTCTACCTTTCCGACTTCCATAAAAGCCCTTGTGAACGGTGATGGTCCTTGTTCATGGGTCGCTGCTGGATGCACGCCTTGCCTTTCTTCCATGGAACCACGAGATGAACCAGCAGCAGCGGCTTCAGCAGCGGCAAGGGTAACAACAGTGGTGTTTCGGGGAGTAGCAGCAGCAAAAGCAGGCTGAGCATCGGCAGCAGCAGACAGAGCAGCAACAGCAGACTCCTCTTCCTCCCCATATTCCCCTCCCTCCTCCTCTTCCTCTCCTGCTTCTTTTCCTCCCTCCTCCTCTTCCCCCCCTTCTTCTTTCCCTCCCTCCTCCTTTTCCTCCCCTTCTTCTTTCCCTCCCTCCTCTTCTTCCCCCCTGCTTTGTGAAGTCGAGGGCTCAGTGGTAATGCGAGAAGCCTGGCTAAAACAATTGGTGGGGAAGGGAGGAGGAAACAGGAAAGGAGACAGAGGAGGAGGATAGGCGTGAGCATGTGGCGACTCAAGTGGATTTGAGCTTGAAAAAGTGTGCGACCCCCGCAGCCAAGTGAAACTTCAACCTAACATCGACCTTCCTAGGGGTGGGTAACCTTTTTACGGAAAAGGAGCAGAGGTGGAGCATCACCTTGCAGCGGGGGCAAGCACATGCACTCAATCTGAAAACAAACACGCCAATAGAGGCGGACAACTACTGAGGGACAGATGTGCTGCAGAATCTAAGAGGAGATGCACCTACTGATATTCCTTGTGTTCCTCGAGTTATTGTTTGCTCCCCCCAATTTATCTTCTCTCCTAGAAATCAAACAGTAGTTTTCTCCTTTTTGAAACGCCATAGTCCTGTCAACTTACTCGACTTTCTTCTTGCTCTTGCAAGTTGCCAACGCCCATCGCCCGTCGTCTCATCCTTTTCCACGCCAAACCACGGTTCCTTGCATTGACAACCTGTTAAAAGGCAGACAAAAAGAGATGGGAAATTTATTGCGATGGGGTGGTGTGCTACACACGAGACATGGACGCAAGGAGCCTTGAGCTTTAATACTTGTTGACCCATTTTGTGTAATACACCGACAACAGCCATAATGAACCAATAATGCACTGAGGCAAAAGGAGAGCAATACAAATTATACAAACCGAACTGATAAATGGTCGGCGAGTGGTTGGTAGCCAATAGTAGACACACTCGGTAATTTCACAACTCGCACAAATAAGTCACGTTCACCTTTTACTTACACACCTAGCTAGCATTTACCTTCTGTTGCCGTATCAACTCGTCCAACAGGGCCCTTTGTTCCTTGTTACCAATATAAGGGCTTCCAGCTACACACAGAATCGTACATGAAAACATTGCATAATGTGGAACACACATAATGTGTGTGTGAATCTGAGAAACATGATATAGTATGCGCAGTAACACCTTGGGTTATGACAAAGTTATAGGGAAAAAAATGTAGGAAATGGGTCAAAACTGAAAAAAAAAAACTGGAAACAATAGACGAAACCATAGTTATCCCCTAACATATGACCAGTAAAGAAAATGATGTGTACCTTCTTCTTCATGCCCATCAACCGTTCTGTTGAATCCTGACCAGTAGCAGCAGCAGCAGCAGTGGCATGAAGAGGAGCAGCAACAGCAGCATCAGGTGAAGAAGTGGCAGTGCCATTAAAGAGAGGAGCAGCAGTGGCATCGAGGGAAGGAGCAACAGTAGCGACAGCGGGATGAGGAGAAGCAGACGGATCAGAAGGAGCAGGAGGAGGAGGAGACGTTAGTTTCTTTGCAAACAAAAGTTGGATGGATTGGGAGCACATTTGCATTGGTCCGGAGTGTTTACATGCATAGGAATGCTGCATGAATAGAATGGCCATTTGACCGAAACACCTAAGCTTGTCAAATTGTATGGCTGACTTCTTTTGCCTTGAACAAACTTTTGATATACAACTACGAGACCCAACCAATTTGTAGATGAAGGCCTCACGCGTTTTCCAATACAAATGGCAGTGTTACTCACCCCTTGTTCATGAGTCCGAATGCGTACGTGGTCGGACATTGCCCTCTGGGCGTTCACCGTGCACTTCGCATCGTAGTAGGTCAGCCCCTCCTCGCCCAGAAGCACTCCCACGATGCTAACAATCGCCTTCTTCGCGACGGTGCAGCTCATCCCTGCCTGTAGTATTGTATAACACGTTGGGATAGAACGAGGGGAGATTAGCACAATATACGTTTCGCACAGAGGATAAGTGGCACTGACACATGTACAAGAAACTGCCATATGCTATGTGTAGTGGTGACTGACCATAAACATGAGCGTGGGCCAGGCTTGGGCCAGGCTGCTGGAGGCAGCTTGGCAGTTGACCGGCCAGGCGGAAGGGAGTGGGGGGAGGGAGGGGACACAGTGACGACGAGGAGTGTGGATGGCCCACGCAGGGTGGGCGCAATGTCTCATCTCGTGGCCCATGAGAAGGCAGAAGCAGCAAGGGGGGAGCGACCTGAGCCTGACGAGGTCGACAGGTACGCGCGTGAGCGTATTAATATCGAGCAGTCACCCATAGGCGCAGCAGGACTACTGACTACCCATCACTCGCTATCATGGCCAGGAACTACCTGGCCATCCCCGTGTGATTATAATGAAGCCCAGGCCAGCCTGCCCGGCCCGGTTTTTGGCCAGGCCAGCCCGATGGCCCAGCCCATGCTCATGTCTGCGCTCAGGACATGAGTTGGCATGTAAGGTGAATAACAGTTAGCGTGGTAAATTACAGCTGGTTACTTACCGGTACAACGAGACTTACCATCGTCTTAAGCTCTTCAATCACCAATTTAGCCCACATCTTATCTTTAACGATATGCCGCGTCCGTGCTGGAATGGTTCGGTTTAAGACTGTTTCCCAATCCCTGCAAGAGAAGAGATGGGAGGGGTAGAGTGAAGGACGTGGAGGACCACAAGAGAATGTCTAAAGGAAGAAGAGTGGGAGATGGGAAACTACATCCATAGTCTCTTGATCCAAACCCATCGGGATGGCTCGAAACTAGCGCGTCAAATTGGTGCGCTGGTTTCTGGTTTAGGCTGAAAAACCCACAGTTGAGTATTGATTTGAGAAAATCTTTAACGTTACTCATTCCGTCACATGCAAGCCCACACCCGCAATTAGGACAGCTGTTAGCACTCGGGTTAGTTCATAGCTATTGCTAGGCTAGACTTGTGAGTGATTTTATAGATTTTTGACACGCAATACGACAATCTCTGTGAAGACGAGGAGATGGAAAAACTGCCGGATCTGTAGCGAAGGTTTTTGTGATTTTTTCCCCCACAAATCACCTGACCCGCTACAAATCTCAACACGAGGAAAGCCAACACATCCTGACTTTGTGTGGTCGTCAAGAGTCAAAACTGTTTGAGCATGTCGCAACGCAACAAGCAGAGTTATATGTGACACGAACCAAACACGTTCGTGTTCGAGTCAAACGGTTGACTGTTCGAGGGGACACCCAAACGTTTGACCATTTGGTCCAACTAACACCACAAATATATCTTTAGAAAGAAACAGAAGAAGAAAAAAGAAAGCGTAAAACTCAACGCATTCAGTTCACAGGTCCTCCACCGCCCAATTGATATCACCATTGCTGAAAAAAAAAACACTTACATCTTGTTCCCCGGCAGCACGCAGTTGTACGTGATAAGTTGCAGAGCGACCAATCCCCCTAGGTTGCGACCATCCACTGGGTATGCGCCTCTTAAGTAGTCTGCTAACGCTTTGTGGCAGGAGATCTCCAAAGGCAAAAGGTCCTCCACCCTCACTGGCTCCGACTGCTGCACACCTGTGCTCATCTTCTCAACACCACTGTGCAAAAAAACATTCTCATCAAAGCACAGGCATGCAGAGAAGTGCACCAGAGCCCCACCACTGTGCATTCTCATTCACTGCCCCAGAGCCCTCACCTCAAACAGAGTCAACCTTCTACTTTCACCAGACATAAACCGTTCTTCTCCATAATCTCAAACCTAATCTTCCTCAACCCCTCTCATCCTGCCATGCCATCATGATTCTCACGCTTCGACGCATCACAACGGAATGGCATGGCATCATCATCGCAGCTTGCTGACTTGGTTTACACACGAGGCCAGGGCTTGCGGCAATAGATTATGTCCTTTCATGGCTTGCGTGGTGCCCTGCCCATCCACTATCCACCATCACTAACCTTCTTATTGCACTTGGTGCTTTTGTGGCTTAGTGGATGTGTTCCTCTCTGCTCACCCTCACAACTCCACCTGCTCTCGATTCCGGCTCCTCCCTTCTATTTCCATTCAAGCCCACTTTCTCATCCCCACCTCACTAACTTACATCTGGCATGACAGGCACAATCATCGATCCCTTTTGCATTCACCATCCATGGCAGGAGGCTCACTCACCACTCCCTCCCTTTCACATGTGCCAGCAGACACTGCCGCAATCACCCGTTCCAGCAAGCACAACACACAACACACGGCACAGCACAGTACACGGCACAGCACTGCACACAGCACAGCACACAGCACACGGCACGGCACTCGACACACGCTTCCACATGCTGCCACGCCATCATAATTCTCAAGCTTCGAGGCATCACAACGGAATGGCATACCATCACTGCCAGCCCTCACCACTACCAGCATCGCAGGGTCTACCCCTCACCCAGGTTGCAAGTTGAACACTTTTAGGCATGCCCTGCACTCACCACGTCTGCCATACCCCACTCACATGAAATAGTCGCGCACGGCCGCGCTCAGCCGCGCTCAGCCGCACTAACTCTGGACTGTTCACACACCTGCAGAGAGAAGGTGGCAGGGCAGGGCGGGTAGAAAGCATGGAAGAGTTAAGGGGAGTACTCGTAATGACAGAGGCGGAAACGGGGAGTGCGGGGACGGTGAACTGTTGTGCACAAATCCATGGCAGCATTTTCCTGCTTCCATATGCTGCCATGCCATCATGATTCTCACGCTTCGATGCATCACAACGGAACGGCATGGCACCAACATCGCAGCTTGCTCACATGGCACACACACGAGGGCAGGGCTTGTGGCATTAATTTCTGTCCTTTCATGGCTTGCGTGGTGCCCTGCCCATGCACTCTCCGCCGTCACTAACCCTCTCATTACCCCAAGTGCTAATGAAGCTCACCTTCACAACTCCACCTGCTCTCGTTTCAGGCCCCTCCTTTCTACTTCCGTGAGGGTTTCACCACTGGCAGCAATCACCACTGACAGCCCTGACCACTGGCAGCGATCACCACTGACAGCCCTCACCACTAACAACCTTGCCATTGGCAGCCGTCACCACTAACAACCTTACCACTGCCAGCCGTCACCACTGGCAGCCGTCACCACTAGCAGCCGACACCACTGTCGACCACTCAACCGGTTTGCGCGCTACAAACTGATATTCACCTCGTGTGTCCCACTCACCTGAACTGGTTCACAGTCGTAAAGGGAAGAAGGTGACTGGCAGAAGGTGGATGGAGGATGTGAAACCCTTGCGATGCGACCCAATGAACCGCACGCGTGCACCTGCCGTGTAGAGCGGGGACGAGGGGAAGCGGAGCAACTGGTCGGGTGGTGCTCGCGAGTGTGCGGCGGCGTATCGGCGCAGGAAAGACACGCACGCCGCCCGGGTTGCATGTGAGTATGCTGCTCAACAGTGGAAATCTCTGGAGAGCGTGGAGAAATGGGCCTTTTTTTCTCGGCGGGGGGATGTGACGAGGAAGACGGGGAATGATTTGGGTGGCGGAGACGAGGCAATTCTTGATTTTTGTAACATGGAGATGGTCGGACCCGTGGGAGAAGGGGAAGGAGTGAGAGGCGGCGTGACAGCGGCATGGCGGCTCGATCCTGCCGCGTACCTTAAAGAAAAGCGGTGGATCTGAGAGAATACATGAGGATAGGAGCGGCGCGAGGAGAGGAGGAGAAGAACTCACGGGGGAAATTCGATTAACGCGAGGAGAAAAACGATTTTCCAGTGTAGGAAGAGGATGAGGCAGAACTCACGAAATAAAGAGAAAACGGATTTCCGAGTCTGAGATGCGTGAGATTCCTGAGAGCGATACCTCACAGTAAGCTTCGATCGGCCTAGATGAGCGTGGAAAGGGATTCTTCCACCGCGGATTCAGTACGGTGTGCACTCCTAACTGAGCATTGTAAGAGATGGCCATGTCGCTCTAACGGGGATAGGCCGCCGTGACAAGCTCGAGAGGTGACAGAATGACGCTTGGGCGCAAGCGAGGGACGCGAGGGACCGTCTGGCTGTTCGAGTTCTGCCTGCTTGGGACCTGCTAACGCTAGCGCGGCTCGGGGTAATGCTTTGCTTGCGCGAGGCCAGCTGGTGCATGCGGTTGCCCTCCTAGTCGCGTGAATATCCCTTCACAGCACAAACCGTTTGTCTACGTTAGTACCGTAATATCCTACCATAAATTTATTTGCAATCAACTAGTAACAATTACAATGTCAATCTATGTACAAAATTTCAGAGTGGATGAAGATAATCTTAAAAGAAAGAAACATAGAAATAAAGAAGGGATTCTTCGCGCTGCTACACCTCACAGAGGTTGAGGCACGTTTTTGCACAGAGATTGTCCGCTAAACTGAAGTAATTACAGGGGGTGTGCAGCGAAGCACATCAGGTATGGGCTCTTGAACAGGCAGATGACGGACGAGCGAATCCAGTGGCGTGTGGGCCTGCCTACTTGCGAGTCAGCATGTGAAGTTGACTGCTCGTCAGCAAGCAAGCGGTGATTATACCTACTCATCATCAGAGTCTATGAGAATGACATTTGCTGCCATGCCGCCTGCTGAATGGTGCACACATGGCAGAGAGGCGGAGAAGCAGAGAGGAAGAGAATTAGAGAGGCAAAGATGCATGTGGGCGGCAATGGCAGAGGGGCAGAGAGGCACTTGAGAGGACGTAAAAGGAGAAACTCGGCGGTGCATGAAAGCAGCTGTGGCGGGACAGAAGTGGAGTGAATGGCGAAGGAGGAGACAGAAAAGAGTACAGAAAAGAGAAAAGAGAGGAGAGATGAGAGAAGAAAGAGGAGTGAGTAGACATGCGAAATGGGAGATGAGAGAGTAGAGAGGAGAAAGGACAGAGGAGAGAGGAGAGAAGGGAGAGTAGAGAAGGGTGAGGAGACAGGAGAGGAAAGAGAGGACTGTAAAGCGAGTAAGACAAATGCTTCTCACCATGCTGCTGTTGGGTGTGTGAGGCAGGAGGCTGTGCCATGTCAGGGAGGTGAGCAGGGTTGGCGTTGAGAGGAGCATGGGGGCCAGTTGACTGGGGACGCATGGCATGTGCGGGAGGCGAGGTGACATTGCACTGCCCATGGGGCTGTGGTGCATGGGGCAGGTGTGGTTGAGGTGAGCGACTTTGTGAATGGGGTTGGGCATGGGGTTGAGTTGAGCGGCTTTGGCCATGGGGTTGGGCATGGGGTTGGGCATGGGGTTGGGCATGTTGTGCATAAGGTTGAGCATGTTGCGCATGTTGTGGGGCATGGATGGCATGGGGCAATGGGGCATGGGGCGATGGGGCATGGGGCAATGGGGCATGGGGCGATGGGGCATGAGGCGGCGCATGGGAAGATGCTGCAGCTGTGTGTGGGGATGTGGGGTTAGGAAGGGGCGGCGTGAACGTTGTAGGGGGAGGTGAGCGGAGAGCATGTGTTCGAGCAGCAGGAGAAGAGGGCGCTGGAGGTACAGCTGTAGTGACGAGGGCAGGAGGAGACATTGCAGCAGCAGCAGGGGAAACAGCAGCAGTGGGAGCAGAAGGGGAAAGTGGAGCAGGCAGAGGAGACATGGCAGCAGGAGGTGCAGCGAATACTCGATTCACTCCTGAAACTGTGAATGGTTGTGAGTGCTGCTGCTGCTGCTGTTGCTGTTGCTGCTGTTGCTGTTGCTGCTGTGGCTGCTGCTGCAACAACCATCGGTGCACGAAAGCATTTTCCATGGCATCTATCTCTTGCACCGCTGATACAAGCATGCTGCTGTTGCTGCTGCTGCTGCTGATGCTGCTGCTGCTGGTGCTGCTGGTGCTGCTGCTGCTGTTGCTGCTGCTGTTGCTGCTGCTGCTGTTGGTGTTGGTGTTGCTGCTGCTGCTGCCACTGCTGCTGCCACTGCTGCTGCCACTGCTGCTGCTGCTGCTGCTGCCACTGCTGCTGTTGCTGCTGCTGTTGCTGCTGCTGTTGCTGCTGTTGCTGCTGCTGTTGCTGCTGCTGCTCCTGCTGACGTTCTTGCTGCTGCTGGTAGTGTTGACGTTGCTGCTGATGGGTCCGTTGGGAGGTCAAGCCAGAGGTGGCAGCAGCAGCACCTGCAGTGGCAGCAGCAGTGGGTGGAAAGGCACGGGGGAGTGGAGCGACGGCCATTCGAGCAGACGGCACAGCTCCAGCAGTGGCAGCACGAGGAGGAGCCGCAGCAGGAGCAGCAACAGCCACAGCAGCTCTGGCACCAACATTTGTAGCAGCAGAAGCACCAGCGAGGGAACGGCTTGGCATGCACACCACAGGATGTGGCAGAGAGGGCATCTGTGCACGCACATGCACATTCTGCTGCTGCTGCATTGGCACCTGCTGCTGCTGCTGGTGCTGCATTGGCACCTGCTGCTGCACCCGCTGCTGCTGAGTCAGCGCTTGTTGGCCTGAGAGAACAGCAGCAGAGACAGGAGGTGGCGTCACAGGGCCTTGCTGGGGAGCAACTGCGGACGCATTCATGCCTGTACTCACTGCACTCATGGCTGCATTCACTGCACTCACTGCAGCACTCCGTGCAGCGTGCATGCTCGCTGTGCCTGCATGCATGTTCATTGTTGTGCCTGCACGTACGGTGGCTGGTGCGCCTGCATGCATGGTGGCTGGTGTGCCGACAGCTACTGCTCGGGTGCTTGTTGCTGCTGCAGGCAGCGCTGCTGTGGCTAGCGACTGCACGCCCATTCCCCCCACACCACTACCACGTCCTGCAACCCTTGCACCACTGCCATGAGCACCACTGGCATGAGCACCACCAGCAGAAGCCCCAGCAGTCCTAGTAGTCCCAGCACCACCTCCAGCAACCCTTGCTCCCGAGCCTGCGGCTCCGGATGCTGCTGTTCCCGCTCCACTTGAATACTTCGCCTGCCAAGCCTGCAGCAACGGAATTTGACCATCCACCATCCCTATGGCCTCCCTCGTCCTCTCCACTGCTGCCGCCCCTTTCGCTCTCGCAACCGCCTTCCTCCGCTCAAGCTGCTGCCGCAACATTGCCACCTGGCGCTCGAATCCCTCGTCCAGCTGGCGCTCCACTGCCAGCGTGGCAGCCTGCTGGTGCTTCATAAGATCCTCCAATCGCAGCCGCTCTGCCAGCACGATATCCCGTGTGGCAGGGGTGAGGCCGTGGGTGGCAGCGAGACTGGCACTATCCATGGGTATGTGGTCCGAGGGGGGTGGAGTGCTGCTACCACTGCCAGGCACACTAGAAGCAGTGTAACCATTCTGCTGCTGCTGCTGCTGCTGTTGAATGTCGTTGATGAGCAAGCGTTGGTGCTGCAGTGCGTTGAGGCGGTGCAGGAAGCTCAGGCGCGGAGGGGATGGCTGCCGTGATGGCCTGCGCATGCGCGGGGGAGGCAGGTCGGAGACTGCATGTGGTATGCGCTCTGCTGCTGCTGCTGCTGCTGCTGCTGCTGCTGCTGCTGTTGCTGCTGCTGGTAGTGATGGTGCTGGTAGTGATGGTGCTGGTAGTGATGGTGCTGGTAGTGATGGTGCTGGTAGTGGTGTTGCTGGTAGTGATGGTGGTGCTGCTGCTGCTGCTGGTGGTGGTGGTGCTGCTGCTGCTGCTGGTGGTGGTGGTGGTGGTGCTGCTGCTGCTGCAGCTGCAGCTGCTGGTTCTAGTGCTGATGCTGGTGCTGGTGTTGGTGCAGCTAATGTTGCTGGTGGTGGTGTTGTTTTTGACGCTGCTGCCGCTGCTCCTCCTCCTGCCCCTGCAGCTGCCCCTGCAGGAGTTGAAACCGGAGCTTCAGCAGTGCTCACTGCTGTGGTGCCAGGGCCAGGCGATGCTCGCTCTGCCATTTCTGTATCTCCTGCCACTGCCGAGCCTGCCACTGTCGAGCCTGCCACTGCCGAGCCTCCCACTGCCGGGCCTGCCACTGCCGAGCCTGCCACTGCCAGGCCTGCCACTGCCGGGCCTGCCACTGCCGGACCTGCCACTGCCGGGCTTGCCACTGCCGGACCTGCCACTGCCAGACCTGCTGCTGCTGACCCTGGATGACAGCCTTTCCTCACTCCTCCACTCACCCGTTCCCCTCCCTCTATCTCCCCACCTACTCCCTTCCTCGCTCTTGCTGCTGCTTCTCCCTCTCTCTCCCCTGCTGGTTCTGCATGTGCCTCTGCCATCGCCATCTCCCCTGCTCCCTCGCCACTCGCCATACCTGTCACTACAGCTGCTTGTGCCCCCTCCCCCCTCTCTCCTGCTTCTGTTTCTTCTGTGCCCTCTACCCTCTCTGCTCCTCTCTGCCCCCTCCGCCTCTGCCCCCTCCGCCATTTCTGCCCCCTCCGCCATTTCTGCCCCCTCCGCCATTTCTGCCCCCTCCGCCATTTCTGCCCCCTCCGCCATTTCTGCCCCCTCCGCCATTTCTGCCCCCTCCGCCATTTCTGCCCCCTCCGCCATTTCTGCCCCCTCCGCCATTTCTGCCCCCTCCGCCATTTCTGCCCCCTCCGCCATTTCTGCCCCCTCCGCCATTTCTGCCCCCTCCGCCATTTCTGCCCCCTCCGCCATTTCTGCCCCCTCCGCCATTTCTGCCCCCTCCGCCATTTCTGCCCCCTCCGCCATTTCTGCCCCCTCCGCCATTTCTGCCCCCTCCGCCATTTCTGCCCCCTCCGCCATTTCTGCCCCCTCCGCCATTTCTGCCCCCTCCGCCATTTCTGCCCCCTCCGCCATTTCTGCCCCCTCCGCCATTTCTGCCCCCTCCGCCATTTCTGCCCCCTCCGCCATTTCTGCCCCCTCCGCCATTTCTGCCCCCTCCGCCATTTCTGCCCCCTCCGCCATTTCTGCCCCCTCCGCCATTTCTGCCCCCTCCGCCATTTCTGCCCCCTCCGCCATTTCTGCCCCCTCCGCCATTTCTGCCCCCTCCGCCATTTCTGCCCCCTCCGCCATTTCTGCCCCCTCCGCCATTTCTGCCCCCTCCGCCATTTCTGCCCCCTCCGCCATTTCTGCCCCCTCCGCCATTTCTGCCCCCTCCGCCATTTCTGCCCCCTCCGCCATTTCTGCCCCCTCCGCCATTTCTGCCCCCTCCGCCATTTCTGCCCCCTCCGCCATTTCTGCCCCCTCCACCATTTCTGCCCCCTCCGCCATTTCTGCCCCCTCCACCATTTCTGCCCCCTCCGCCATTTCTGTTCTCTCTGCTCCCACTGCCCCCTCTGCTTCCACCGCCATCTCTGCCCCTTCTGCTCCACCCAAAGATTGGTCAGTCTGACCCTCATGCGCACCCTCACCCACAGTCCCTACCTCTCTCTCTGCTTCATTCCCGCTCCCTTGCTCCTTCTCAGCCCCCTCCCTACCTCCCTCTCCGCCCTCCTCATGGACCCTCTTGGCTGTATCTGGCGCAGCTGTATCTGGCGCAGCTGTATCCGGCGCTGGAGCTGTTGTTGCTGCAACCATGTCTGCTACAGCTGTGTCTGCTACAGCTGTGTCTGCTACAGCTGTGTCTGCTACAGCTGTGTCTGCTACAGCTGCGTCGGCTGCACTTGCTACAGCTGCCTCGGCTGCACCTGTGTCTGCTACAGCTGCGTTGACAGCAAGTGTGCTCTTGGGGGAAGCATCTGCTACAGGCACGTCAGGTGCAGCAGTGTTGTCGACCGCAACAGTCTCAACCGCAGCAGTTTCCAGAGCCACAAGCGCGCTTCTCCCCTCCCTCTCCTGCCCACACTCACCGTCCTCACCCTGAGTTGACGCCAATTCCCTCCCATCCCCCACTTCCCTCCCATCCCCTAAATCCCTCTCCTCCCCCACTTCCTTTTCATTCCCTCCTAGCTTTTCCCCCACCCCCATCTCCTCCCCATCTCTCCTCTCACCCCTTTCCCTCTCCACACCATCTGCACCGTCCATCTCTCCTTCCTCCCTGCTGCATGCCTCCACCTCAACTGCTTGCTGCTTCTCCCCTTTCTCCCCCTCCCCTCCTTCCGCCTCCTTCCCTCGCCCTCCTCCTTCCTCCCTCTCTTTTTCCTCCTCGTCACCTACCTCCTTCCTCGATTCCACCTCCCCTCTCCCCTCCTCTCTCGCACCCTCCGCCCTTCCCTTCTCCATCCGCCCTTCAACCCCCTGCCCATCTCCAGTCACCCCATCCACGGATTTCCCCCCTGCTTTCATCACTCCCACCTCGCCTTCACCACCCTTGGTCTGCCCATTCCTTAGCTCCCCCACCGCCTCACCGCTTCTTCCCACTGCTATCACCTCCCTTTCACCACCCTCGCTCTGGTTTTTCCTTAGATCCACCGTAGCCTCGCCACTTCGTCCCACTGATATCACCTCCCCGTCCACCAACCCCTCCCTGACAGTAACCTGCCCTGCCTCTTCTCCTAGCCCCTCTTCCTGCGTCGCCCCAATCTCTTCTGCCTGTCCCCCCATGCCTACATCCTCCCCTCCCACGCCTCCCTTCTCCTCTCCCTTGTCTCTTTTCTCCCCTCCCCTGCTTCTTTTCTCACCTCCCCGCTCTCCCTTCTGCCCGTTCAAGCTTGACACGTGCCATGATCGCTTTCCCAGCACAGACCTCCCCGCACTCCTCTCCACCGCAGCTTTCCTACTCAGCATCTCTTGCACCACACCATCCGCGCCATCCCCACGCCCATTGGTCACCCCAGCAGCCCCAGCAGTCCCAGAAGCAGCAGATGCGGTTGCAGCAGCCACAACAGCAGCAGCAGCTGCAATAGCCGCATCAAACCATGCACGCGCCTGCTGCCCATCACGCACCACAGTGTGCTCTCTACCCGCATCACCACCACACGCCCCTGCCCCTGCCCCTGCCTCTGCCACCTGCTGCCCACGAACCTCCTGGCCCCACGCCTGTGCTGTGCCTTCAGCAGAACGGCCCGCCGAGCCATGCTCACTTATCCCGCCCTCCACCATTCCCACTGTGCTTCCGCCACCACCCTCCTTACTCCCCTCCCCAGCCACCCCTTCTCTCTCCCCCACTTCCCGGACTTTCATCTGCCCATGCCGGATCTCCTCCGTACTTCCTCCCACCCCTTTCCCTCCAATCCCTCGCCCTCCTACCCCCCTCCCTCTTCCCCTTCCCACTCCCACCAGCACACCTCCCCGCACCACTCCACACCCACGTCGAATCGCTCTCCCTCCTGTTCTCCCTGGTACACCCCCCTTTGACCCTCCGTCAGGGGATGGCCTTGCTTCAGGTTCTTCCCTGCCACGTCGACTGCTTGCTGCCACCTGGCTAAGGGGCTGTTCATGCTCCTCCCTACCACGTGGACTGCTTTCTGCCACCTGGCTAGAGGGCTGCTCAAGACCTACTCTGCCACGTGGGATGCTTGCTGGCACCTGTCCTGCCACCTCATCCCTCCCTTCACCACGTGTTACCCTGCTTTCCATTCCACGTGTTGCCACGTCATCCCTTTTGGTGCCTGCCCCATCTCCCAGCTTTCCACGTGTCCTTTCTTTCGGTGCGCCAGCTGGCATGTAATCTGCCACGTCATCCTCCCACTCATGCGCCTCAGCGCTCACCACGCCACATCTCCCTTCATTTGCTGAGCCACGTGGCACATCCTCCCGCCACCCTCGGATCATCAAAATCACACCGGTCCGCCAAGTCGTCACGAAGGCTCTCCACCTGAGAATTCACCTGAGAGCGACCACTGCTACCAGGTCCAGGGTGCCCATGCCAGCGCCCAGGTGCACGCTCAGGTGAGAAACCAGGTGGGAAACGGCGTTCAGGTGGTAAGTCAGGGTTGTGTGGGACACTGATTGAGTGGTGACAGTTTTCAGGCAATGCTGGTGGGCTTGGGCGGTGGTTGACTGGGCTTGGATGGTGGTGGTAAACTAGGGGAAGTGGCAAGGCGACGTGTGCACTGGGTGGGAGGGGTCGTGTGTGGTGATTGCTGGAAGGGGAATTGGAGTTCTGAGCCGACTCGCGAGCCTTCTTGGAGGGAGGAAACGGCAGGGTCAGGGGCGGATGGGGGGTGGAGGGGCGTGCGTGGTGGGTACTGGAATGTGCGTTGGAAGGGGAATTGGGAGGGGCGTGGGTGGTGGTCGGAGATTGGGGGTGGTTGCGGGGAGTGGAAGGAGGTGTAGCGGCATGGCTGGGAACAGCAGTGTGAGGATAATGGGGGTGGGCGTTTGGAGGGCGTGCGAGGAAAAAGGTGGGGGGTTGGTTGGCATGGAAAAGCATGGGAAAGCCAGGAGGATGATGACGTGGCATAAGGGTAAGCGGGCCATGCTGACTGGGTGGATGTGGGCCATGCTGACCGGACAGATGTGGGCCATGCTGATTGGGCAGATGTGGGCCGTGCTGACTGGGCAGATGTGGGCCGTGCTGACATGGCAGATGTGGGCCGTGCTGACTGGGCAGCTGGAAACCACGTGGGCGTGGGAGGGATGCCAAGGCAGGTGGAGGGAGGGATGGGAAACCGTGAGGATGACTGAGGCCCTGGGCTGACGATGCATGGGCCCGTTCAAATTCCTCATGACTTCTGTACACATGTGAGACATGGGGGGTGGGCAGGGCGGTGAGGGGCGCGGGGAGCAATCCATGGTCCCCCACGCCCCTTGGGTCAAGGTTCCGACCTGCTCCTTCCCTTGACCCTTGCTGTCTGCTTGCGAGGACGTTTGGCGGGAAGGGCGCGAAAGGGAGGGGGGCGAGAACTGGCGGATGGTTGAGGGGGAATGGCGGGTGGAGGTGGGAGAGGGAGCGGGAAAGCGTGGGGGGTTGGTTGCTGGAGTGGCGGGATGGGCCGGAGTGAGACCAGTGCAAAAAGCTCTCTGAGTTTTCATGCCCTGCCTGCCCACTCGACTCATTCCGTCCGTCTTGCTCCTCCTGCTCACGCGTTGCCAGGCTCCTTCTCTCCCCAGTGGCCCTGTGCTGCTCCGAGAAACGCCCATCACCTTCACCACTTGCACCTCCCCCCTCCATCTCCTCCTCCTCATGCCACTCCCCCTCCTCCATCTCCCCACTCCCCTCGTCCCTACCCTTGCCTAGCCTCTGCACCCCATCAACCACTCCTCCCTCCCTTCCCATTCCTCCCGCACTTCCCAATTCTCCTTCTCCCGCTCCTCCCTCCTTCCACACTCCTCCCTCCCCCACTCCTCCCTCCTTCCCCACTCCTCTTTCCTTTCCCACTCGTCCTTCTCTTCCCACTTCTCCCTCTTTTCCCACTCCTCCCTCCTTTCCCATTCCTCCCTCTCTTCCCACTTCTCCCTCTTTCCCCACTCCTCCCTCGTTCCCTAGTCCTCCCTCCCTTCCCTCTCCTCCCTCCCTCGGCATTCCTCCCTCCCCCTCTTCTCCAGTCAGCCTCGCCGCCCCTTCTCCTGCTCCCCCTTTCCCCCCTCCACCTTCACCTTCTCGCCCCTCCTCTCCCCTCGTCCCCGTCACTCCCTCGTCTCCTTGCCTGCCCAGCTCCCTCTCTCTCTCGCCCACCTGCCTCCTGGCCTCAGCCACAGCAGCAGCAAGGCCGCCCTTCACAATCTCAATGGACCGCCACACACCACTAGTCCGTGCGCTGCATTCATCACTCATCAAAGTGCTGCCGGCACTGCTTCTCACATTCGTTCTCACCCCTCTACACCGTGCACAACCTCCATCCGCTTCATTAGCCTCACCTTCTCGCACCTCTTCGCCCTCCCTGCCCTCTCCGCCCTCTCTACCTTCTCTACCTTCTCTGCCCTCTCTACCCTCTTCGCTCTGCCCTCCTCCATCTGCCATGGCCGGCGTCTCTCCTACTGCCCTCCCTACCGCCCCTCTCTCCACTTCCAACCTCTCGCCTGCATTATCCCACAGTTGCAATCCCTCCCCTCCTCTTCCTCCCACCACTTCGTCCATCCCATCTCGCCTCTCCTCCCCTGCCACCTCTTCCTCTCTGCCTGTCTCTTCCAACCCATGCCCATACTCTCTCCATTCCACCTCGTGCCTTATCTTCTCACTTCGCACCTCCTGCCCGGCCTCACCCCTTTCCTTCCCTCCGTCCAACCAATGCTCCTCCTCTTCCCTTTCAATCCTATGCTCCTCCACATCTCCCACCCTATGCTCCTCCTCATCTCCCACCCTATGCTCCTCCTCCTCACCTCCCACCCCATGCACATCCTCCGCCCCTCCCATTGTGTGCTCCTCCTCCTCCCTTCCAATACTATGCTTCTCCTCCTCCCCTCCAAATCTATCCTCCTCTTCCTCCCCATCAATCCTATGCTCCTCCTCCTCCTCCTCCCCACCAATCCTATGCTCCTCCTCCTCCCCTCCAATTCCACACTTCTCTCCTCCAAGCCCATGCCCCTCCTCCTCCACTCCCATCTCACGCCCCTCCCCCTCCCCTCCCATTCCACGCCCCTCCTCCTCAAATCCCTCTCCTCGTACCTCCTCTTCCCCCCCCCCCACTCCGTCTTCCCCTCTTACCTCCTCTGCAACAGCCTCCAAGTCCCCCATTGACAAAACACCTCTCACAGGCTCGGAAACAACCGGACCTGCAGGTCCGGGCCAAGCCAGAACCCGATCCAGTGCCACAGACGTGACGCGCTCAGAATGCAGGGCACTGTTCTGCGCCCACTCTTTCACACTCTGCTTGTTCGCCGCCCAGTACAAAAGAACCTCCCTCAATTGCTGCCTCACGCATGTGTAACCTTCCCCATTACCGCACCCCACCCATCCCAGTCCCTTCCCACCACAATCCATCCCATGCCCCTCTCCTGCCACCTCCTCACCATTTCCCTCCCCCTCAGCAGCTACTTCAGGCCTACTGTGTGCCTCACCCCCTGTCGCTTCTCCTTTCCCTGCAACACCTTCATTCCGTCTCTCTTCACCTTCATTCCGTCTCTCTTCACCTTCATTCCGTCTCTCTTCACCTTCATTCCGTCTCTCTTCACCTTCATTCCGTCTCTCTTCACCTTCATTCCGTCTCTCTTCACCTTCATTCCGTCTCTCTTCACCTCCATCTTCCAAGTGACCAGCACCGTCATCCACTCTTCGCCTCTTCCACCCCTGCTTGCCTTCCCTCCCTTCCCTCCCCTCCCTCCACTCCCTCGGTTCCTCCTCTTCCTCCCTTTGCTCCTCGTCCCTCTCCCACCCCCCTTCCCTTTCACCACCACGCCTCTTCACCCCTCTCCTCGCCCCATATTGCACCTCCTCTTCCCCGCACACCCCTCCACATCTCTCTACCCCTACGCCTCTCACCTCTCCCCTAATCTCCTCTCGCTCCCCACTCCTCTCGCACCCACTCTTCCTTCCCACCCAACCAGCACGCCCCCCCACCGTTCCCCTCAGGCCGCTCCCTGTGTCATGCCACGTGCCATGCTGCAAGCGCTGCTCTTCAGGGCGTTGAAATGCCTCAAAGCCCCTCGCTGCCCCATGCCAGGCGCTTTCCAGCAGCCCTTGCTCCTCAGTGGCGGGGCAGTAGAGGCGCAGCACGGTGAGAGGCGGTATGCTGCGGCCCTGCTGCTGTGAGAAGGCGCTGGGAGTGTGTGGGGGTGCGCTGGGTGCGACGCAGGTGTCTTGGTGGAAGAGCAGGGAGGCCAACAGGCGCTGCAAGGCATGGTAGAGGCGAGGGTGAGGGGAGTGGGTAGACAAGGGGCGAGGATGAGGAGGAGAGGAGGGCTATGACTCTTCTTGATGCTGTGAGTCGTGGAGATTTGAGCATCAAGTGTGGAGAGTTACACTTGCTGAAGGGGGGAGTTGCAGGTATATTGCAGTTGATTGTGCTATTGAACTGACAATGACACAAAGAACCACAATTCGCTCACTCACCCACCCTCACACTCGCTCCCACAGCCACAGCCACAGCCACAGCCACAGCCACAGCCACAGCCACAGCCACAGCCACAGCCACAGCCACAGCCACAGCCACAGCCACAGCCACAGCCACAGCCACAGCCACAGCCACAGCCACAGCCACACCCGCACCCCAACCCGCACTCCCATGCGCACCCCAACCCGCACTCCCATGCGCACCCCAACCCGCACTCCCATGCGCACCCCAACCCGCACTCCCATGCGCACCCCAACCCGCACTCCCATGCGCACCCCAACCCGCACTCCCATGCGCACCCCAACCCGCACTCCCATGCGCACCCCAACCCGCACTCCCATGCGCACCCCCACCCACACCCACACTCACAGCCACTGACCTGAGTGGTCAACGCAGGAGTTGTGGAGTCATCCACGAGTATAACCACGTCGATGGGATCCAAATTCACGCCCATTGACACCACTGCTGCTGGCGCTACCACCATGAATGGACTCTCCCTGCTTGCCCCTGCTCCTTGCTGCTCTCCCTGCTGCTCCCCCTGCTGCTCCCCCTGCTGCTCCCCCTGCTGCTCCCCCTGCTGCTCCCCCTGCTGCTCCTCTTCCCCCTCTTTCTCCTTCCCATCTGCCTCTGGTCCTTCACCACGCTCCCCTTGCTCCTTCCCTCCCTCCACTGACACCCGCCGTTGCGCTTCCATCCCTGCTCCCTCATCTCTCTCCTGCTCTTCCTCCTCAGCTTCCCTGCCTCGCTCCTCTTCCGCAGCCTTCTCCCCCTCTCTCGTGTGCTGCAGCCCCAACATACTCTCCCCCATCAACCCCTCATCCACCTGCTCCTCTTTCACTCTCCTCAGCGCCTCGCCACTGCCCTCTCCCCTCACTAACCCCTTCCCCAATACACCGCCCCCATCCATTGACTCACCACCCCCCTCCACCGACTCATCACCCCCCTCCACCGATTCACCACCCCCCTCCACCGATTCACCATCCTCCTCCACCTCACGCTCCATCCACACCGACATTTGTACCACCGAGTATTCCTCCTCCTCCTCTTCCACCCCCATCTTCACCTCCTCCTCCACCTCCTCCTGCTTCACCCGCACACCCACCTCGCTCTCCCCTCCCCTTCTCCGCCACCCTTCCTCCTCCCCATTCTCCCCGCCTTCCCACTCTTGTTCCTCCACCATCGTGGCCCCCCTGCACCTGCCATGCTGCATACCCCTGCCGTACTGCCTATTCCTAGCTAGCTGCCTATCCCTACCACAACGCATCTCACCTGCGCCACTTTCAAATCGCCTCTCTCCCCTGCCTCTTCCCCTGCACCTCTCCCTTCCCCTTCGCCTATCCGTTTCCCCGCGCCTATCCCTACCGTTTCCACCATTTCTCCCCCGACCCGCTACCCTGCCACCAGTCAGCCTAATCCTCACCGGCCTTCTGCCATTCCTTCTCCCTCCTCCACCGCTTCCTCTACCCTCTCTCCTCACTCGCCGCTCCTCTTCGCCTCGTCTTCCCCCCCTCACGGCTCTTCTCTGTCTCCTGCTGCCAGACCTCGCTGCTCCCCCACCACTTCCACCCCCACCACCTCCTTCCCCCCCACCTCCTCCCCCACCTCCTCCCCCACCTCCTCCCCCACCTCCTCCCCCATCTCCTGCCCCCCGACCCCCTCTCCCACCACGCACGCCCCTTGCTCTGCCATGCAGCACCTCCCCTCGCCCTCCCCGCACCACACTGCGCCCCTGCACTACCGGTGCCCCTCTAACCACCTGGGCGAGCGTGTGGGAGCAAGCAGCAGGGGAGTCGGACGAGTGCAGGCGGAGGAACGCACCCCCACTGCCGCCCCACTGCTGAGCGAGCATGCTGGCTAGTGCTTCCCTCAGTTGTGCACTCTGCAAGGTAGGACCGCATGAGGGTTGGAAGACAACGTGCAGAGATGTGGGTTGGGTTGACACTGACAGGATAGCAGAGAATTGGTTGGGGACGAGCAGAGGAGGGTTGAGTTTAAGTAGGTTGTGGGCTTTTCTGCCAGACAACACATGCAGACTACCAGTAAAAACAGGAGCAGGAAAAACACGGTTGCTATTGAGAAGGTGTGAGAGCTCTCAGGGTGGTTTGAAAACACGTGTTGATTCTCAGTGCGAAAGACGAGGATGCACTCACATGTGCGAGCAGCAAAACGGTCTTCCCTTTCCGTTGGAGACAAGCCAGCATGGCACTCAGTAGCCTCAGCTTCCCACTGCATTGCATGTCATCTGCGCTGCTAGGCCTTGCCTCCTCTGCTGCTGCTACTGCTGGTGCATTATCACCGGCAGAAGCAGGCGCATGAGCAGGAGCAGCAGCAGGAGTGGCAGCAGCAGCAGCAGCAGCAGCAACAGCGGCGGCGGCGGCATTTCCAGCAGCGGTAGCAGAATTGGCAGGAGGAGCAGGGGGCATGGGAGCGCTAACAGTCGGGTGGCCAGCGCGTGGGGCAGGTGAGAGAAGCTGCGGGTGGTGGCAGCACTGCAGCAGTCTCCTTCGGAGACCAGTGAACGCTGCTGCAGGCAGTGCAGCCGCCCCGGCTTGGCCCCGCACTCTTGCTGCTCGCTTCAGCTCTCGCATCGTCACCCTGTGTTGAAGCGACAGGGCGTGAGTGGGGATGCAAGAACGGGCGTGGGATACAAGTGGAGTGATTGAGCAGGCGGTGCCAGGAGGAAGCGGAAGGCAGGGGAAGGATACACAGATGTATTGACATTGCTGGATGGAGGGTTACCTACCTGTAGAGTAGAGGGCGAGACAAAAGGAAATAAGGCTGGTGATTTTCATTCCGAAATTGCAAGAAAACATGTGCAACACGATGGGATGGGGTACCTGTAGAGTGCGCGTTGGTGGGGAGTGAGGCTGGCAGGCCACCAGATCTCCCTCACCGCCCTCCCCCTCACTGCCCACGTCCTCCTCAACGCCCACTGTCTCCCCTCCCGCTCTGCTCCCCAAGCTGCCACAAATGACCCACCAGGGCCCTCACCACCCTCCCTCCCAGTCCCCCACTCCCTCATCCTTTCCACCTGCTCCCTTCCTTCTCCCCCCTCCTCCTCTGACCACTCTCGTCCTTGCCCTTTAACACCACGCACACTGTCATCACCACTTCGCCCCAGGGTCAACCCCACATCCAGCACATGCCACTGCCTGCCCCCGCCACCGCCCCTGCCAAAGCCACCACTCCCACCATCACCGCCGCCCCATCCCTCCTTCCTCGCATCTGCTCCCTCCGCCCCCTTTCCCGACCACACGGCTGCTGCAGCCCCCACCGCAGCTGCAGCAACAGCTGCAAGTCTCCCTGCTGCTGCTACTGCTGCTTCCCCTTCTCTGCACACTGCGTCCCCTCCTCCTCTGCCTGCTGCTGCCCTTGCTGCTACTGCCTCATCCTCATCATCATCATCACTCTCACGAATCCTGCTCTGCACTGCCTGTGCTTCCTCCTCTGCTGCCTCTGCGGCCACAAAAGTGGCAGCAGCCACAGTGAGTCGGTCCCATGCGCGCTCTGCACTCCCATGCCTCCTCTGCTGCCAAATCTGCTGTTCTCTCTCCTGTCTCCACTGCTCTGAGCCACCAGAAGAAGCACACACGAGCAGGCGCGCATGCAGAGAGAGGGGCGGAGGGGCACAAGGCGGCTGGTGACCCACCGCCACCTCAGCATGCTGCTTGGATTCAGCTTGGAAGCAACTAATCACGGACTGCCACGTGTCATTGTCTAAGCTGATGCCTGGTGGTGGGGTTTCCACGAGCACAGCCTCCCAGTGCACCTGGGAAAGCCGACCTGCCACCTGCACATCCGATCCGAGCCACACACGGTTGAAATCCAACGGCTCTAACTGAGTGAGTGCATTTACACGTTTGCCTCGTCTTGGAAACCACCTTGCTTGAAAAGCACTGCAGAGGGAAGCAGGCTGACCTACCTGTACAAACGTGGCTGCTGTAGTTACTACAACTTGAGGCTGGATGGTGACGCATGGTTCGGTTGAACCTGCCCCAGATGCACCTGCCCCACGAGCACCCTCTGCCGCAGTGGTGCCTTCCCCTAGCGAGTCAGCACCATCGGCATCGCCACTGGCAAGACGAGCACCGGCACCAGCTGCACCACCACTGCTTGCACTTGCACTCGCACTGGCATTAGCAGCAGCGCCAGCAGCAGCGCATGCAGTGGCAGCATCAGCAGCAGGCAGCATCTCCCTGTCCCATATGGCCTCCAGCTCCGCTCCTGACCCCCCCACGTACTTCAATACATGAATCTCCCCTCCCTCGCCCTCCATCCCTCCAACATCTGCTTCCGCCACTGCTGCTGCAGCTGCTGCCCCTCCTCCTGCCGCCCCTCCTACTGCAGCAGCTGTTCCTGCAGCACTTGGCCTTACAGCAGCTGCTGCAGCAGCAGCTGGTGGCGGTGCAGCCAGAGAGGAAGAGAGGGAGCCAATGTCGCGGCACCAGCGAGCGGCATGGCGGGGAGACGGGCAGATGATGAGGATGGGGCGCACGCACTTGAAGTCTGCGATGAGCGCATGGCAGAGCGCCAGGAGCACACGGGAGCTGCCCTGCCCAAGGGTGGTGAGATGAAGGGAGGGGGAGGATGATTTTGAGCTGCCTCTGGCAGATGATGAGGATGGGGCGCACACACTTGAAGTATGTGATGAGGGCGTGGTAGAACGCCACAAACACACGGGAGCTGCCCTGCCAAAGGGTGGTGAGAAGAGGCGTAGGGATGTGCACGTGAAGCTGCACGACCACTAAAGACAGGTGCACACACTGCAGCTGCCCATGCCATGCCATGCCATGCCATGCGTGCCATGCCACGCCAAGCCATGCAACGGTGCTGCTCTGCTCACTCACCATGCCAGGGTCCATGCACAGCAGCGCACGCCTTCCCCCCTCATCGTCCACCCCTCTCCCCCCCTCCTCCACGCCTCTCTTCCCCTCGCCCAACCCTCTCTCCCCCATGAACCCCTCCTCTTCCGCTCTGCCCTCAGCATCACCACTAGACGCCCAGGCTCCCACGTCAGATCCCAGCCCACGCCTTCTCTCCTCCACAGACTCCCACACCGCGTTCAACGCACGGTCAAGGGCGCCTCCATCGCACTGCCACAGTGCCCTCAGCCAATCAAAAGCCGCCACCTGGAACCATGTGAAGTGGGCAAACTCTACGTGCCGGCCATCGTTTGAGTGGTGATGCTGTGTTAAGGCGAATGGAGCAGCGCGTCTGGCTCTTGCCTGAGAGGAACACAAGTGATGGTGCGACGGGGGTTGGCGTACAGAGGTGGGGGCAGATGGGGGATGTGAGAAGCAGAAAGAGGCTTACGGCAGGACTTGCTGACAGCACAGCACAAGAATGAGCATGAATTCAAGGCTCAACAACTACATGCATCACTGCACTGCACCGGAGTGCACCGCACTGCATTCCCATGTGTCTCCACTCAGACCCGTCCCTCTCCCTCCCATGCCCCACCTGCAAACCTAAAGCGCCATGCAAAGAAACTGTTCCACGAAATAACCCAACACCCACGTAGGAATACACGCACCTCCAGCCTGGCATGTTCCATGGCCCTCTGCTCACACCCCTCTCTCTCCCTCTCGTGCCTCGCCTGCAGCGCCATGCCGCGTGGAGTGGAGAGGAAGGGCATGTTGCACGCCTCCCATGTGAGGTGCTCGTACCCCACGCCCCTCCACTTCACCAACCTGGAATAATGCAATGAGGACGGGAAGAGGAGCAATATATCAGGTGACACACACGGGGAAGGAAAAAGGGGGTGAGTGAGTGTCGCTGCGACATTTCCTCGAAAAGAAAGGACGAAGAGGGACGTGATGAAACAGAAGCAACCATCTTCCTCGCCACTGTCATTTCGTCCATCGCACTCACCACTGGTATTCATCCGCCACGCGTCTCAGTCGCCCTCTGCCGCGCCCCTTGCCACCACACTTGCCTTGACCCAGCCCCTCCACCTTGAACCGCCCCAGCAGCCGCTCCGGCTCCGCCCACTCGCTGCGAAACACAGGCAACTGGGAAAGGAGAGGGGGGTGCGTGGGTGGGTCCATGCGGTGCTATGCATGCACGACCATTGGAATGGAAGGACTGGTTTGCTTGCCTAACTCAGTTCAAACAGAGAGCATCTTGCAATGAGAAGGATACCTCAAATCTTCCAAGCACGCACACGGCTCCGGACGGCAGGGCTAGCACCACCACCACTCCGCACCACACCACACACAACAAAACGAACACACCACACAACATACATACCTTGCCGTCCGCCTTGAACCTCTCGTATGCTGCCAGGTGGCCTGGGAACCGCGAGTGCAGCCACTCGCCGTCCACCCACGCATTGTGCACGTGAGGCCGCTTCTGCCACTTCACCAGATACTCCCTCCCCCTGCCACGACCTGCCTCCGCACCCGCCCCACTTGGGGCCACATACGCCCCTGCCACAGCCGCATGAGTCTGTTCCCCTGCATCCCTGACAGAACAGCCAAGAGCTTGCACCCCGTCCCCATGCACCACATTCAACCCATTTCCACCCATCCCCTCGTCCTGTCTTGCCCCCACCCCACCTTCTTCCCCTACCAGCCCCTCACCCCCCTTTCGCCTGCCTCCATCCCTCTGTGCCGACTTCCCTCCACCTTTCCCCTTGCCGCCTGCTCTCGCCCCTGCATTCCCCACTGCTTTCCCCCCTCTTCTCCCTCGCTCCTCTCCCTTCATTTTCCTCATCTCCTCATCATGCTGCCACGCCAGGCTCCCCTCGCCCATCCCGCCTCCTCCCATCCCCATCCCCATCCCCATCTCCCCACCGCCCCCCTCCCCTTTCTCCCTGTCTAGCCACACAGATTCCACAACAACCTCGCCTAGCGCCCACAAATTCTCCGAATCCTCACCATTGGACGCCCTGTTACTAGCACCAGAGGCCTTAAAACTCCCACCACGAACTGCTGTAAGACTTCCACCTCCTCCCCCCGCATTGCCAGCACCGCCACTGCGGCTGCTATGAGCAGGAGCAGCAGCAGCAGCAGCAGCAGCAGCAGCAGAAGCGGAGGCACCCACACCGTTCGCTTCATCCACCCCCCTGGCCGCATCCCAATCCTCGTCCTCCAAACTCGCCTCACCACCACCACGGCCAAAACTGCCAGCCCACCCTTCCCTTCCAGGAGCATATGCACAGCCAGTTGGGGTTGTAGTGGAGAGGGGGGGATAGGGGAAGGGGCGGCGGGAGGTGCGGAGGCGTTGGAGGCAGTCAGGGCAGTACCAGGGGCCCTTGGGGACGCGGGAGAGCTTGGGCTCCGCACACTCCACGTGGCATGCCTTGCAGCACGCAGGCCCGTCACAGCACCTGCAGGGGAGACGGGAGGTACGAAAACGGAGGGAGTTATGGCGAGTGCGGGGCTATGGTGAGGGAAGGCGTACGTACGGCGAGGGGCGAGGGCAGAGGTAAGTCAAAAACACAGCAAACGCAAGTGCAGTGCAGTGCAGCAAAGGCGAGGCCAGTCAGAGGTAAGGCGAAAGCAGGGGTGAGGCAGGACAGGACTGACATGAGCAACCCCCCGTCAAAGCACTTGAGGCAGTAGTCCACACGAAAATCCTCCTCAACTGTGACTGTGGGCTCCTCCTTCTCCACCCCTGGCACCCAGAAAATGTCGCGCCACCACGCCCACGTTACCCTCCGCCACACCTCGTTCGCCCTCCGCACCCGCCTCTCCTCCTCCCCCTCGTCCCCGCTCTCGCACTCCTCCTCCACCAGCGCGCCTCCTAACCCGCGCACGGCCGCGTCTGCCCCTCCTGGGCTCCCCATTCCTCTCTCTGCGCATCCTGACCCGCGTTCCGCGTTGTCTTTCCCCCCGAAATCCCCCATTCCCGTCCCCGCAGCTGCTGAACACCCCAGTGCCTCGCGAGACATGCGCATGGAAAGCGAGTACAAGCCATGAACCTCCCCATCTGAAGCATTAACTCCATCCCTCCTCGCATTGCCTCTGCCAAATGAGCTTGCCCCATGGTCCCTTCGCCGTTGCCTTGTCCCTCGGTCCCGTACAAGACCTCGCCCGTCAACCCTCTGTCTGTCACTTCTCCGTCCTCCTACCCACTGTCCGTCAACCCTCCGTCCGCCAATCCGCCATCGCCAGGCTTTCAACCAGCGTTTCATTCCCGCACAACTCTTCCCCCTCCCCGTCCTACCCCTCTCCCTACCTCGCTCCATCCTCGCTCCACGGCTCGTGCCTGCCTCACTCGCCCTCCTCCTCTCCCTCGTCCCTCGCTCCATCCTCGCTCCGCTGCTCGTGCCTGTCTCATCCTCTCTCCTCCGCTTCCTTCCGGTTTCGCGAACCGTCTCCTCCGCCGGCTCACCACCCACGTGGCCTGCAACATCACCCAATCGACCATTGGGTTCCGCACCAGAATCCTCACGAGTAGCAGCCGCATCGAAGGCAGGCGGAGAATCGAATCCCGAGAGACGGGCCTTGGTAGGAGCACGGAGTCCGCTAGGTTCAGCGTGGCGTGCTAATAGCGGTGGGTCATTCTCTGATGAAGCTCTGCCGTCGACGCGAAAATCGGCTGCTGATACAAATTGCCCGCTCGCGAAATCGTCGACTTGTAACGTATCTCGTTCAGCTACGCCGCCGACTCCCTGCGATTCAAATAAACGCTCACATTTGACCGCCAGATCTGACGGCCTCGCACTGAAAGCCGCAGACCCGTGAGGAGCTGCGGATGGAAAGGCGAGCGACGGATTCGCATCAAATCTATCGCCAACATCGTCGATGCGATCGTCCATGCCGTCGTTAATGCCGTCGCCAATGTCGCCAATGTCGTCATCGTCGTCTAGAATAATAGGATCATTCTCCCTGCCGCTAGCAACGATGCTACCGTCCTCCATTGCTCCTTGCCGCCTCACCCGCGACTACTTCAAAGAAATAAAGAATCTGCCCGATGTCTTGTTTTGTATTTCTTCAATATCAGCCAAGAAAATCACGCACGAAGCGCACCGTACCGCACCGAGCTGCACATTTAAGCTCCATCACTGACCTGGAACGTCGGTCAACACTCACACTTCCGCTCAGATCTGACATGTACCACCCGAATACATCGGCGAAAGCTACAGCATCACGAACCGGATAGAACTGCAGGTTACGACTGGAAACGCGTTTACAATCTGGCTCGTCGAACTGACTAGAGTCGCGCGCGGGGACGGGAAGCGGGTCGAGGTTAGCAGTTAGTTCGAACTGACAGGCTGGGTACCGCAGGCCTGCTTGCCTGACAACAAACAGGAACGAGTTACCTGAACGTGGATATTTAAGAAACATCAATAGCTAAACCTTTTCTCGAAAACATCGCACGTTTCCGAAAGCCAAGTCATGAATCGAGGCTAGCGAAGCGGATTTGTAATCGCTCCTCGCAGCTCCCTAGGCACCACCATTACTCGAATGCTCGCTAAAATGAAAGACTCACGGGGGCTCTCTATGTTATGAGGAATGAATGCTGCTTCTGACATGCCAACTGGCCAAGTACCTTGGGATTGGGTGATTCGGGAATGGTTGCGCCTGGCGTCGGACTCAAGCACTTGACGCGGTATAGGCGCGGCTGCGAGAGGGACGTTCGGATTGTACACGAGCAGATGCAAATCGATTGTGCTAAGCATACATCAGATGCCAGTCTCAAGAAATGCATAGTGCATAGTGACCACAAATTAAAAGGGGGGTCTTGGCATGATTCTAATTGGGCAAATTTCACTATACAAGATTTTCCTTAGAGAAATATCTGGCATTCGAACACAAAGCTGAATACAGGTAAAAACGTCTCGTTCTCATGCATCAACCATAGCCTCCGCCTCCTCCTTGGCCTCCTCCTTCAGAGGGTAGTACTTGTAGTGTAACTCTGTTACATCATCACCCGACACCTTCGTCCAGCCCTCGGGACCCACATGGTACACTGTTATAACGGTAGGGTACGATACACACATGACCATGTGTGCAATTAGTGGCACGGGGAGGGGGGAGAGAGGGGGGGGGGGGACGGGGAGGGTGAAGGAATTTCGGCTGAAGTGCAGGAAAAAAATAACCCACACAACCTCCACTTCCCGCGATGCAACCTAATGTATAAAACAACGCCCACAAGAGGCAACGCCTCAAGTAATAGAGTGTTCTCCCTCAGTGCACACGCACCCGATGCAGTGCCACCACTGGCGGAGTCACGGAAGGTGGCATGGTAGATGGCCCTGCGCCCCAGTTCCTCTGCCTCCTCCACTGACAGATCCCACTGGTACCTGCCATGCCATGCCATGCCATGCCACGCCACACCAGCACGAGGTACGACCGACACTCAAGTTCAAATTCCCAGGTCAAGAATGGAAGACCCTTCCACTGTATGCTTACAAGCAACCGTAACCAACCTGCTCCTCGTTCGCTCACCGCATCCCTTCTCCCTCCTCCTCTCCCCTCCCCACTACCCGGCCCACCTTGGAGAAAACACTCTTGCGCTTAGTATACTGTCCCCCCCCTCTCCTAGGCCCCGCTCGCCTTCCTAACCTCCCCTTCTCCTTCCCACCCCCAACTCCCATCCCTGCTCCTGACTGCTCTGAGAATCGGCACCCCTCCTCCCCCACCCCTTCCCTTCTCCCCTCTCCCTTTCCTTCCCCCCCTCTCACCCTGCGTCCAGCACGCCATAGGCATACGTGGATCCAGACCCCACTGCGAATCGCCGGCCCTCATAGCGCGACCCCTCACTGTCCACGTAGAACAGCTTCGGGCCCTGCCAGAAAAGAAAAGCACAGCAGCATGGATCCTGGCATGAGAATAACTTTAGAAGACACGGCAGCAAATTGAGTGCAACATTTGTAAAGTTGCAAAGCAAACACAGCAGCGGCAACTATGAAACGCGGATGCCTTTTCAGCTCCGCCCATGTAATCTTATCATGCAACCGCCTCACGCAACCGCCCTCATGCTTGACGTTGTTGCCGGCGTTTCATCACAGAGCGCGTTTCATCCCAGCCATTGATCACATTGACCCATCTGATCCCAGCCGTCGACCGCACTGACCGTCCATTCCCAGCCGTTAATCAGTTGGTCTCACCGTTTCATCCCAGCCGGCGACCATGGTACCGATGGAGAGCCCAGCTGTCTCGACTCATCCCAACCGTTGTTGGCCAGCAGCTTCAACACAATCTAGAATCCACACACCGTCTCGACTCATCCCAGCCGTCGATCTTACTTGATGCGCACATTCGAACTGACCGGCCCATCCCAACCATTGATCTCACCGTCTCATCCCAGCCAGCCACCATGGTACCGATGGAGAGCCCCATGCCGCGGTACGAGAAGAGTGTGTTGGCCAGCAGCTTCGACGCCCCCGCCACACTGATGCGCCGCCCGTTCTCCAACTCGTGCAGCCGACACTGCCACCGTTGCACGTCCGGGAAGGGAGAAGGGGGAGTGTGGGGGACTGGGGGGTTTAGACATTTCAAAACTCGCCGATGATGATGGGGGAAAGAGGGAAAAGGGGAGGGTGGGGTTGGGGTGGGGGAGTAGGAAGGGAGCGGCGCAGGCAGGGGGGGAGGGAACACCTATTGTGGACACCACGCACCTGTCGGCCCAGGTTGCGCTGCCAGAACTGGCAGTCCGCTGCGCCGCCCGCCATGGTGCCGAGCAGGTACTTGTTGATCTCGATCACCTTCTTCACCGTCTGTGAGGCTGCACGGGGCGAGGAGGCACGCATGGTAGAACGGAAACGTGGGGATGTGAGATCATGAAAGGATAGAGAGGCAACACAGTTCCCAGCAGGTTCTTGTTGATCTCTATCACCTTCTTCACCGTCTTTGAGGCTGGTAACGGGGAGGAGGCACGCACGGGGAGAGAAGGGGCGTGGAAGGGAGTAAATGGACGGAGGTATGACGCACATGGCGCTCAGCAGGTAGTTGTTGATCTCTATCACCTTCTTCACCGTCTGTAATGCTGCACGGGGCGAGGAGGCAAACAGTGGGGATGTGAGAACAGAAAAAGATATTGAGGCAACACACTTCCCAGCAGGTTGATCCCAATCACCTACTTCACCGCCTGTAAGGCTGGTCGCGGGGAGGAGGCACGCACGGGGAGAGAAGGGGTCGGGAGACGAGGGAGCAGGCGTGGATACGGAGGGAACACAATCTCGAGCAGGTGTGGGTTACTTTCGATCGCCTTTATCACTGTCATGTCTGTGATGCTGCAGGGGGCGAGGAGGCAAAAAAAGGGGAGAGAAGCAAACCCGGCGGATGAATATTCAGGCGGTTCAAACAGTGTGAAGGGAATGGTGCAAGGGTGGCCAGATCCCAGGTATAAGCGCGCACCGATATAAGTGCCCATGGTGGCGCGCGAGTCGACGGCGATGATCACGCCGTGCTGGAAGACGAACCCGAGCGTCGTCGTGCCGTGCTGCGGCTTCACCATCTCCATCGCCGCGCTCTGAAACCCGTCCAGCTGCAGTTAGGAGCGCGCAGGGAGAGGGAAGAGCGGGGACAGATCGAGAGGGGAGGAGACGCAACGCGCAGAGGAGAGGAGATAATGCTGAGAGATATTGAACCGTGCCAAGCCTAGACATGGATCACGTCGAGGCGAATAGAGCTGTGCTAAAAATTCCTTAGAGCTTTCGACGTGCCAGTACCCCTAACGAAGCAAGAATCCGGTATTGTGTGTCTTCCCAATTGTAAAAACTCTCGTTCGCAAGAAGATGCGGGTGTGAGGGATCGATTTGGCTCACATCCTTCACGGCAGGCAGCGGGAACGACGGCGCGGCGAATCCAACATCTGCGTCGTCGAAACGGCCGGGATGAAGCGACGGCGGATCCACGAGGCTCATGTCGATCCGCATGATGGTGAAATTTAATTCGACGGGAGCGGCAGATTATCGCTGGTAGTGGAAGGTAATTAGGACACGACAACGCGGCAAGGACCCGTCGAGATTGGGAAAACTACTGAATGAATGCACTGAATCAGAGAAACAAGTTGAATGGCATCTGCGTTGCGGAATGTCGCGTAATATCTTTAGCTAACACAAATTGTTGAATGTTCGGATTCTTGTACGTGTACATTCTCCATACGTCCAGGAATTGCATTGTTCGCTTGGCTAACAAATGTACTGTATGAGGGTTGATATCAGTTTCTGCTTCTGTTCGTACTCGCTATGAAAAAGCCCTGCGGGTGGTGTGCTTCTGGGAAACACCACCTCGCAGTAGTCACAGCACTCACCACCGCACAAGCCATTCTCGAAACCGAATCGCCCTGGAGTTCCCCCCAGCACAGCTCGGCTGCTGCGCCGTCGTGGCATCAGGGTGTGCGGAGACGCACGAATCGCGTGACAGGACTGCGCTTGGGGGGACAGGGGCTGGGGCGGGCGCAAAGTCCCATTTCGTCAGTCGGGGGGAGCTCTGTCAGTGGGAGGGGCGCAGGAATGCGGCTCGTCGGTGGGAAGGATTTCTGGCGGAAAGAAATGTCAAATTTGTCTGCCTGCACTGCCAGCATTTGCTCGGGGAGAGCACGACCTGAAGGTTTTATGCTGTGTGATGGTGCTGCCTCAAAAACGGTGCATCTCTTCCCAACGCACATATACTATTGGCTGAAGCGCAGAAAATATGAATGTATCGCTTCTGCTCCTTTGAAGCCATCCACGCGTGATAGATATTGCGTCGATCTTCTATGCTCGAACAATCATTCAAGGGACCCGAGTATAGACAACCACCTTATAATCGTGTACGGCGGACTTTGACCTCGTCAGTTGATAGAATACATTCCCGACTCAGATCGGTACTCTCTAGGCTTGTTCTCACACCACAGCAGCGCAGTCGCTGCAATGGGCACTCCAGCTCATAGAAGAGTCCTACAAGCTTGCTGTTTACTGCTCGCCGTCTTTCAAGCAGTTCACTCCGCTCAACCCGACTCACCGCTCTCAACCGACGATGGCGCCAACGTGACTCGTCGCATGGCCCTGGTGGGTCAAGTACCTCGTTCGGCAGCTCCCCTAGCCGCGCCTCTCGGCTCGGGCTTCTGGTCCGTCAACAAGAACCAGTTCGTCGACGCGCATGGCCGCGTGGTACGCCCTCCCTGCCTTCCTACCTCCCTGCCTCGTTGACTCCATGCCGTGCCTTCCAGTAATCTCCTTCCCGCAACCCTAGTTTCCCGTCTTCCCTTCGTTCCTCCTGCTGTTTCTTCCCCGCGCCTAACCCCTTTTCCCCCCGTTTTCCCCCGCGTCTCTCCCTCCTCGCGCAGGTGCGCTTCTCGGGGCTGATGTGGTCGGGGTTCGAGTCGGACGTGGCGGTGGTACAAGGGCTGTGGGTGCGCAGCTACCAGTCGCACCTCGACCAGATGCGCAAGCTCGGCTTCAACGCCATCCGCCTGCCCTTCGCGGGAGACGCGCTCGAGCCCACGTGCTACCCCAAGAGCATCGACTACGGCAAGAACCCCGACCTGCAGGGCCTCAACTCGCTGCAAGTCATGGATAAGATCATCGCCGCGGCTGGCCAGCGAGGCATGAAGGTTATCCTGGATTACCATCAACATCACTTGCTACTCAACCTTCCCACGGAGGGTCTCTGGTGGGACCCCACCACGCCCCCGAGGAAGTGGCTGCAGCGATGGATCATGCTCGCGAAACGGTACCGTGGTAACCCGACGGTCATCGGCGCGGATCTGCTGAACGAGCCGCACTTCAACGGGAACACCGCGCCGTTCCCCTCGCCGTACTGGGACGTGGAGGGGAAATACGAGAACCCTCCTCTCAACTTCCGCACCGCCACCAAAATGTGAGTTCCGCCATGATTTCCTCGTCCGTTTCCTTACAACCTGTGCCGGTGGTTTGTCTAGAGATCCTCGTAGAGAACCTCCTATCCAGCTCGTGAAATCTAAGGTTATGACGCTTCCGCGAGCACCGATCTTGCCCGTTCCCTGCTCTCATCCCTCTCCTCTTACGCTCTCACCGTGCGTGTGTGCGCGCGTGCAGTGTGGCGGCGGCGATTCAGCGCGTGAACCCGGACTGGATCATCTTCTTGGAAGGAATGCACAACGACTACTGGTGGGGCGGCAACTGCCGCGTGCTCATGAAGGCGCCGCTGAAGCTCAACGTGCCCAACAAGCTCGCCTACACCGCGCACGAGTACGGCCCCTTCGTCTACTTCCAAAAGTTTTTCAACAAGTCCGTCACGCCTGATTTTCCGAGGAATCTGCCCAAGCTGTACAACCACCACTGGGGTTTCATTCAAAAGAAGGGGTATGCGCCGGTGTGGGTGGGTGAGTTTGGGTCGAAGCTGCCGCCTCCGGATTCGGAGCTGAACCGGGTGGAGCGGACGGTGTTTTTCACGCTGATCAAGTACATGAAGGCGCTCAAGGTGTCATGGACGTTTGCTTTCTGGGGCCCGCTTAGCAAGGACACTGGAGGGATTCTTAACGACGACTGGTACACTGTGAGGCAAGACAAGCTAGATGCCCTCAAGCCTATCATGTATCCTAATTTTGCCTAGGAGCTGCTGAGCTGCTCAAGACCACAGATGGGAGTGGGTTCTGCAGTGGCTTCTGGATTGGTGTGCTGATGATGGTAACCGTCATTGTACCTAGACATGCGTTATTCTTGTTAGTCCCCTCAGGTGGTCTGCGAAGCATAGGCATTTTCATGCCCTTTAGGGAAAGGCTAACCACCGTAGGTCAATGTTCAGATATATCGGGTAAAAGTTTACGTTAAATATAATTCAAGGAATGCGTCATTCTCTAATGAAGCTTTACCGCACTTACCATACAGCAGCGAAGTTTTGGTCCCAATGCTAGTGTCTTGCGTGTTTTGCCAGTTGGATAATGACAGAGATCGACCTTGATTTCATAGATTCTTCCCGATTTTTTATGCCTGCACCCGCAACAGCAAGAGGCTGTCGGATACCGCTCGCTACTGTCACATAGCCAGTGGGAGGCCATGTTTTTTTATCCAAGCAAACCTCCACCACACGCGCAGACCACACACACCATCACCCACGCCTCTGACCTTGTGTGCCACAATTTCTGTTCCCCCCATTCCGTGGCAGCTAGTTTGTCAGTACAGCTGATGCTCACCCCATGCACGCGAATTTGCCTTGCGCCGGATGGATACGCTGCACCCGAGGTTGTTTCCCCAGCCTCATGCACCTACATTACAAGCGCGTCGCGTGGTTATCAACCAATAGTAACGAACAGACCGAAGTCAAACTAGGTACAGACCGAAGTCAAGCAGAAGAGACTGAAGTCAAACTAGGTTACAGATCTTGTTTATAAGCACATGCGAATCCTTTTTAGCTAGCTGCGAATTGCCGAAACTTATGCGAAATGCTCGTGACAGCTTATACGCCCCCTTCATAAGGCAACCGGGAGGGGCTCAAACAGGCATCAGGTTTCGCATAAGTTTCGGCAATTCGCAGCTAGCTAAAAATGATTCGCATGTGCTTATAAACAAGATCTGTAACCTAGTTTGACTTCAGTCTCCTCTGCTTGACTTCGGTCTGTACCTAGTTTGACGTCGGTCTGTTCGTTACTACTGGTTGATAACCACGCGACGCGCTTGTAATGTAGGTGCATGAAGCTGGGGAAACAACCTCGGGTGCAGCGTATCCATCCGGCGCAAGGCAAATTCGCGTGCATGGGGTGAGCATCAGCTGTACGCAGCAGATAGATACAGGTCTGGAATCTAGGCGTTATTTATCAATCAGATGGTTTACAAAGGTTGTGTTGCGGTATTAGGATTTGTAGCACGGTGAAGTGCGTTACGTTGCATCCCTCTCCTGCCCCCCCTCCACTTCCACTCGCGTCTCTCCAGCTTCCAAACACTGTAACTGTACATATTTATCTTCTCTCCCTCAACCCGCGCCATGCTTTCCAGTTGTGTGGTGGAGATAAGAGAAGAGCTAAGGCGGAGCATCCCCTAGCTCACCCTCACAGAATCCGCTGCTCCCTTCCGCGTTCCGCCAATCAATTTGTTAGGAGGGCGCAGACCGCTCCTTGAGCTGACAGCTTGTGCCAGCTTGTGTCATTCCGAGAAAAATAAATATCTTTTGACGAAACTCAGCCATTGAGGTTGCATAAGCGTCGCTGCGGTCATTCACCATAGCGTTGCTAATTTCCCCTCGTTGAGATAGTGAGCAGAAGAAGTAATCACAGCTCCGTCCGGACCCTCTCTTGTCGGGAATCGTAGCAGAATTTGCGTTGTTCATCTCGTCAGAACTTGCGCGATCCCCTCATTGCCATCCGTTTAACCCTAATTGTCGGCAATGGAGGTTGGCCCTCGTGTTCGAGCCAGCCACATGCCAGCGAGCAAGCCGACGCTGCTCCTCGATCTGCGCCTCACGAACGCGCCGGACGACCAGCAGCCGACCCGCTGCCACAATCATTCCTTGTGGCACGACGCCTTGTCCAATTCATTGGGCGACGCGACGCGGAGAGGCGACTCGCTACGCGCGGACGCAAGCGTGGGCGCCGCGGAGAAACTTGCTGCACCGCACGGCCCGGGGGTGACGTTTGAGTCGAGTTCGAGGAGAGGACCCGGCGCCTGGGAAAGCCGGGCGTGGCTAGAGATCGAGGAGGAGTGGAACGAGGAGGACGAAGACGAGGAGGGCGACGACGCGGCGATGCTGGACGTCGACGCGTTTCTCGGGCGGCGATTAACGCGCGAGCCGAGTTTTAGCATCGAGGACGCGGCTCTGTACGGCCTGCCGGGTGAGCATCTCCGCGTGCTCGTTGTTCATGTGTCCGAGTTTAACTGTCTAATTATAGGGTGTCATTTTGCGTGTAAATGCACTTTGTTTTCTTGCCCCGCGATTGGATGTTGTTTCCCGCGCGCATCGTCGTAACCACGACTGTTCCTCCGTCTCACTCCCTCCGCCATCCCCACCCATGCCTTGTGCGCGTGACTCTTCAGAGGAAGTGGCGACTCCTCGCCCTGCGTCAGCGCGATTCACGGCGAGCGACAGCGAAGCAGCGGCGCTGCGGCTCGCAGTAATGGAAGCGGAGGTCAACATAGTCATGGAGACGAACCGCCTCGTGTCCGCCATTAAATGCCAGCTCACCTCCCCCTGCTCCACCATCCCGCCCCGCTCCCCCTCCGCCACGGGTACCACCTCCCCCTCTCCCCCCCGCACCTCCTGGGACTTCCGCTCCTTCTCCTCCCCCGCGACCACCCCCTCCTCCGCCTCCGCCTCCGCCCACTCCGCGCTCTCCCCCTGGCGGCGGAAAACCCCCTCAGTGTCCCCCACTGCTGGGTGGGCGTCGCAGGTGCCAGAGGAGGAGCCTGTGTTTGGTTCTCCCATGGCTGATCGCGCCATCTCTCGCTCCCTCACCTCCTCGTCGCTGCTTCCCCGCCCGCGCTCGTCGCACATCACCCGCTCCCACACCGCGTCGTGCGACCGCCTGCCTGCAAGTTTCGTGCCTAACGTCGTGCCTCGCAGTGAATCGGCTTGCTCGACGGGTTCCAGTGCCGATCGGTCGCCGTTTGGTAGCGTGGCAGGCGTGGCGCAAACACGCCTGCCGTCGTTTTCGAGTGGGACGGGAGGAGCTCCTGTGAGAAAGATGCTGGGCGCGCTGAGGCGGCAAATGAGCTTGCCTAGCAGCAACTGGCTGCAACACAGGACGTCAAGAAGAGAGGCAATGTCTAGTCATGAGGATGAGTAGCACAGCAGCATTTTCTCTGAACGGCTTTGGGTGTGTGTGCAAGAGTGAGGTTCGTTGATGTAAAATCCTAAATAAATATCAATGAAGTGCTCCGGCTGAGCGGTGTTTCCTACAGCAAATCTGAACTCATTTTGAATGGAGGAGACTTTCCAGCAATGTAATTCCGACTGTAACGGGTATGTTATTGACACCACCCACAGCGCAAGCCAGCAGGGGACATCGCCTGCTCTCTAATCTTCGTCCCAGGCTCGCCTCGTGAATGTGCGTCCTCACGCTGCCGTCTTGCGGTCGCGTCCCTGCGCCTAATTTCCCGGCGAGTACAACCTGCTCCGATTCTGACAGCGCGAAACAGTCGCCTGGCTGCTTGTTTCCGGGCGATCTCTGGCGCGACAACGCGGTGTTAAGAAGAAGGAATCGGTTTGTGATTTTTGCGCCAGGCGCGAATTATGGAGCTAAGGTCGCGAGGCGTTTCGGAGAGGTAGCACACGGGCTATCTTAGCTTATAGCGAGTCTGGCCTACAATAGGGCATAATCGTTAGGCGTTTGATCAATCCGACCGAGGACGCGTCGTTTCGGAATATACCGTCAATCTCGTTTCGCTCATTTCATTTCCGAAACGTTACCAGGCGAAACAGGCGAAACAGGGGGTGGAAAGCCTACCACTCAAAGCTTGAGTAGCCGTGAGAACGACCCGAAGGAGGCGTAGGGGCGAGACGACCGTTGAGGCTGTTAGAAGAAGTACTCAAGTGAGGGAAGCAGAGAGAGTAGGAAGGAGGAGGAGCAGGGACGAAAGCGCGGGCCAGTTATCGCGCGGCGGGCAGCGTGCGACGTGCGGCGTCCGGCGTGCAAGAGGAGGCATGGCGTCTGCGGGGAGCCAGCAGCAGCAGGTACAGCATGGCCTCGCCTGTTGCGGAAAAACGAGCCGCGCGAGTTGCGTGAGAACGCGGCTGTCGTGGAGGGAAGCGCTTAGCTGAAAGGGCGCGCATGGCGACAACAGCGCGGCGGTGCTGCGAAACAAGCCACTGGGTGGTGCATGCGCATGCGCGTGCTCCCCCTCACGTGCGCGCACCCTCACGCGCGCGCTCTCCGTATCGCACGCGCACTCCACATCGCCTTTGCTCCTCTCTGCTCTCGCTTCTGCTGTCCTCGCCCCATCCTTATCTCCCCGCTTTCCGATTCCCCTTAGCAGGGTTACCAAGTTACATAGCGAGGAGGGTCGTCTCCCGTCATCTCTTCACTCTTATTTCCGGGGGGATAGGGCCTGACTCACATAGCGGCGGATCGTGGTAACTGATCTAGTTGTTCCCCTCCCCCATTCTCCTCCTCCCCCCCCCATGGCTTGACAATCTTATCCCCCCCCCTCCCCTCCACCCCCCCACCCTCTCCTCCCCCCTCTTCCCCTCCACCCTCCCCCCCTCCCCCCCCTCCCCACCCTCTCCTTCCCCCTCCCCCCGCAGGGCTTGAGCCGCATAGCAGCGGGGCGGCTGCATAAGGAGCTGGCGGAGTGGCAGCGCAACCCCCCGCACGGATTTGTGTACCACCCCAGTGACAACCTGCAGAGGTGCGGTGCAGAGGGGTGGGGAGGTAGGTAGGGGAGGGGGGTGGGAGATAGTGACAACCTGCAGAAGTGTCTTCTCTGGCTTCCTTCCCTCTGCTCGTTCTCACCAACCCCCCCGCTCTCCCCTCCCCGCCTCTCCCCTCTCTGCCTCTCCCCTCTCCTCCGCTCCCCTTTCCTCCTCCACCCTCTCCTCCCCCACTTCCTCTCCCTTTCTTCCCTTTCTTCCGGCGTGCACACGTGTGGTGCATGTGAGACAGATGGAGCATAGACGTGCACGGGGCAGCGGGCACGCTGTACGCAGGGGAGGTGTTTCAGCTGCAGGTCGACTTCCCATCCAACTACCCCCTCGAGGCCCCGCAGGTGCGCTTCTCCTCTCACCGTCCTACGCAACATGTGCACACCGTGTCCCTACTCCTCCTCACTTCCACCTGTCCACCATTGTAGAATCCCACCTCCACATTCCTGTTCTCCTTTTCCCGTCCAGCCCAATTCAACCTAAACCAACCTATTTTAGCCCGAGCCAACCCAACACAAATCAACTCAACCTGACCCAATCCATCCCAACCTGACCCACAGGTCATATTCTCGCGCAACCCGCCAGTGCACCCACACATCTACAGCAATGGTCACATATGCCTTGGTAGGCCGCATGTGCCTTGGTAGGCCGCATGTGCCTTGGCATGCCGCATGTGCCTTGGCATGCCGCATGTGCCTTGGCATGCCGCACGTGCCTTGGCATGCTGCATGTGCCTTGGCATGCCGCATGTGCCTTGGCATGCCTCTCTGACTGTGTTAGTCGGCCAGTATCTGCCAAACCCCTTGGTTTGTGCCATATCCATTCGACCCTTACAACCATGCACTATATCTATTCTCCATGCATATCGCCTTCTCTCACCTCGCAGACATTCTGTACGACTCGTGATCGCCTACCAGCATTTGCCCTCATCCCCCACCCCACCCCGCCCGCATACCCCCCTACCGCACCCCACCGCTGCATGCGGCAGACATCCTGTACGACTCGTGGTCGCCTGCCATGACAGTGAGCGCCGTGTGCCTCTCCATCCTCTCCATGCTCTCCAGCTGCAAGGAGAAGGTATGTTCACTGCAGAGTGCCACGCCTCCCCATGCCTCCCCATGACTCCCCATGCCTCTCCATCCTCTCCATGCTCTCCAGCTGCAAGGAGAAGGTGCGCTGCCTCCCATTTTGGCCCCTTTCCCGCTAAGACACCAAGCACATGGTGCGTGTGTGCTCACTCGCCCTCTGCCTCTCCACCTCGCCGCCTCTCCACCTCTCTGCCCCTCCACCGCTCTGAATTCGTCTCCCTGCAGCACTAGATCCACCTCTCACCGTCATGATCAATCCTCTGTCACCTCCCTGCAGGTGAGGCCGGCGGACAACGATCGGTACGTGCAGCGCAGCGGCCAGTCACCCAAGAACACGCGCTGGTGGTTCCACGACGACCAGGTGTAGGCAGGCAGGAGGATTGTGTGGCTGGTTGCAGCGCGGGACTGTGTGAGGACAAGGAGGAGGGTAGATGCGCATTCCCCCAAGAACACACGCTGGTGGTTCCACGGCGACCAGGTGTAGGGTAGGCCGAGAAGGCTTCTACTAGCCGGGCAGGATGACTGCTTTCAGAGGAGGAGTGGGTGAAGATGGGCAGGGCTGGTGAAGGCAAGGAAGGCTGGTTCGGGGCAGTCCTGCAAGAACACGCGCCGGTGGTTCCATGACGACCAGGTGTAGCGTAGGCCAGTAGCGTACTAGTGCCGGGAGGGCAGGAGGGGTCCTCGTCACGAGGCCAGAGGGGGTCCTTGTGACGATGCGAGGGGGGCCAGTATTGGTGAAGGCAACGAGGAGGGCAGACGGGCAGTCCGCCAAGAACACACGCTGCAAGTTGGAAGGGCAGAAACAAGACCAACTGTGTGGTCTGTTTTAGGTATTGGCGTGCACTTGCGTTGCGATGTGAAGTTATTGTACACGTATTAGAATGGTGAAGGTGGCAAATTCGTTACAGATGAAATGTGGCACAGAGTTCGCATACCATAAATCTGTAATCCAGGTCCTTCAACGTCAAAACAATAGGTGGTAATCACCTAGGGGGTAGCTAGAAGGATATGAAGAGCGCCCCCAGCACTTCCTGCACGAATGTGGAGATCCTACCGAGTTTTAGCGGGTAAAAGCGCTCGTTCTGAGCGTTTTTCTTCCACCAAGTCACGTGGCTGCGCTTGTCTAGGCCTCTTGGCAAGCCAGCAAGGGCGTGGGGGGGTTGCGAGCGTCAATTGATCATTGGCGCTCGCGAATGAAGGGTGTCCGTTGCAATTCCTGCACGTGTGCAAATCCTTCCGCGTTTTGGGGGAAGAAGCGCACATTCCGAGCGTTCTTCTTCCGCTGGGTCACATGGCTTCTCTAGTCTGGTCCTAACGCCAAGCCAGCAAGGGCGTGGAAGTGTTGCGAGCATCATCGGTCATCGGCGCTCGCGAATGAATAGCGCCCGCTGCACTTCGTGCATATGTGCGGATCCTTGGCGCAAGAACCAAAGCTGAAAAGGCTCTAGTATCTGTATTTGAACATGGGCCACTCTAATATGCAAACAAATTCTGGTTGTTGAATGCTTTTCCGTACGCCTATAGGGATTCATGCGCTTTCTAGGCACTTGGCGGCAAAAACGGCCGAAATCGTAGGCGCCGAACTTTTCTTCGCGCAAGAACCAAGCCGAAAAGGCTCTAGTATGTGTGTTTGAACATGGGCCACTCGAATATGCAATAAATTTCAGGTTGTTGAATGCTTTTCCCTACGCCTATAAGGGTTTTTACACTTCTACGCACTTGGCGGCAAAAACGGCCGAAATCGTAGGCGTCGAACTTTTCTTCGCGCAAGAACCAAGTCGAAAAGGCTCTAATATGTGTATATGAACATGACCCACTCGAATATGCAATAAAATTCAGGTTGTTGAATGCATATCCCTACGCCTATAGAGATGCACGCTCTTTATAGGCACTTGGCGACACAAAACGGCCGAAATCGTGGGCGCCGAACTTTTCTTCACGCAACAACTAAGCTAAAAAGGCTCTAGTATATGTATTTGAACATGGGCCACTCGAATATGCAATAAAATTCAGGTTGTTGAATGATTTTCCCTACGCCTATAGGGATTCATGCGCTTTCTAAGCACTCGGCGGAAAAAACGGCCGAAATCGTAGGCGCCGAACTTTTCTTCGCGCAAGAACCAAGCCGAAAAGGCTCTAGTATGTGTATTTGAACATGGGCCACTCGAATATGCAATACAATACAGGGTTGTTGGATGCTTTTCCCTACGCCTATAGGGATTCACGCGCTTTCTAGGCTCTTGGCGGCACAAAACGGCCGAAATCGTGGGCGCCGAACTTTTCTTCGCGCAACAACTAAGCTAAAAAGGCTCTAGTATGTGTATTTGAACATGGGCCACTCGAATATGCAATAAAATTCAGGTTGTTGAATGATTTTCCCTACGCCTATAGGGATTCACACGCTTTCTAAGCACATGACGGCAAAAACTGTCAGAGGTCCACTGGAGATCCCCGATGATCCTAGGGAAGGGTTACAGGCACGTCGGCCTGGGGGGTTATGGGCGCACTCACCCGCTATATATGTCAGAATATTATGCTCTAGCCTGCAGTGGGGTGCTCTATAGCGAGTACAACCCTTCTAGGGTTAGCTATTTGTACCACCATTGTTGCTAGTGCAAACCCTCTCCTTTTCATTCTTTCTTGCTTAGCTTGTTTCGACATGGTATCAGAGCGAAGGTCTCGGGTTCGATTCCCGGTGTGTGCACTTCGGGCATCCCAGTGCGGGGGGGTGTCAGAGGTCCACTGGTGATCCCCGATTGATCCTAGGGAAGGGTTACAGGCACGTTGGCCTGGGGGGTTATGGGCGCACTCACCCGCTACACAAACAAGCCCTTTTATCCCAGTGGTTAGTGGCTGGGATTCTGACATGGTATCAGAGCGAAGATCTCGGGTTCGATTCCCGGTGTGTGCACTTCGGGCATCCCAGTGCGGGGGGGTGTCAGAGGTCCACTAGAGATCCCCGATGATCCTAGGGAAGGGTTACAGGCACGTCGGCCTGGGGGGTTATGGGCGCACTCACCCGCTATATAAACAAGCCCTTTTATCCCAGTGGTTAGTGACTGGGATTCTGACAAAAACGGCCGAAATCGTGGGCGCCGAACTTTTCTTCGCACAAGAACCAAGCTAAAAAGGCTCTAGTATGTGTATTTGAACATGGGCCACTTGAATATGCAATAAAATTCAGGTTGTTGAATGCATTTCCCTACGCCTATAGGGATTCACGCGCTTTCTAGGCACTTGGCGGCAAAAACGGCCGAAATCGTAGGCACCGAACTTTTCTTCGCGCAAGAACCAAGCTGAAAAGGCTCTAGTATGTGTATTTGAACATGGGCCATTCGAATATGCAATAAAATTCAGGTTGTTGAATGCTTTTCCCTACGCCTATAGGGATTCACGCGCTTTCTAGGCACTTGGCGGCAAAAACGGCCGAAATCGTGGGCGCCGAACTTTTCTTCGCACAAGAACCAAGCCGAAAAAGGCTCTAATATGTGTTTTTGAACATGACCCACTTGAATATGCAATAAAATTCAGGTTGTTGAATGCTTTTCCCTACGCCTATAGGGATTCATGCGCTTTCTAGGCACTTGGCAGCAAAAACGGCCGAAATCGTGGGCGCCGAACTTTTCTTCGCGCAAGAACCAAGCCGAAAAGGCTCTAGTATGTGTATTTGAACATGGGCCACTCGAATATGCAATAAAATTCAGGTTGTTGAATGCATTTCCCTACGCCTATAGAGATTCACGCGCTTTCTAGGCACTTGGCGGCAAAAACTGCCGAAATCGTGGGCGCCGAACTTTTCTTCGTGCAAGAACCAAGCCGAAAAGGCTCTAGTATGTGTATTTAAACATAAGACACTCGAATATGCAATGAAATTGAGGTTGTTGAATGCTTTTCCCTACGCTTATAGGGATTCACGCGCTTTCTAGGCACTTGGCGGCAAAAACGGCAGAAATCGTAGGCGCCGAACTTTTCTTTGCACAAGAACCAAGCCGAAAAAGCTCAAGTATGAGTATTTGAACATGGGCCACTCAAATATGCAATATAATTCAGGTTGTTCAATGCATTTTCCTACGCCTATAGGGATTCACGCGCTTTTTAGGCACTTGGCGGCAAAAACGGCCGAAATCGTGGGCGCCGAACTTTTCTTCGCGCAAGAACCAAGCCGAAAAGGCTCTAGTATGTGTATTTGAATATGGGCCACTCGAATATGCAATAATATTCAGGTTGTTGAATGCTTTTCCCTACGCCTATAGGGATTCACGCGCTTTCTAGGCAATTGACAGCAAAAACGGTCGAAATCGTGGGCGCCGAACTTTTCTTCGCGCAAGAACCAAGCCGAAAAGGCTCTATTATGTGTATTTAAACATGGGCCACTCGAATATGCAATAAAATTCAGGTTGTTGAATGCATTTCCCTACGCCTATAGGGATTCACGCGCTTTCTAGGCACTTGGCGGCAAAAACGGCCGAAATCGTGGGCGCCGAACTTTTCTTTGCAAAAGAACCAAGCCGAAAAGGCTCTAATATGTGTATTTGAACATGAGCCACTCGAATATGCAATAAAATTCAGGTTGGTGAATGCTTTTCCCTACGCCTATAGGGATTCATGCGCTTTCTAGGCACTTGGCAGCAAAAACGGCCGAAATCGTGGGCGCCGAACTTTTCTTCGCGCAAGAACCAAGCCGAAAAGGCTCTAGTATGTGTATTTGAACATGGGACACTCGAATATGCAATAAAATTCAGGTTGTTGAATGCATTTCCCTACGCCTATAGGGATTCACGCGCTTTCTAGGCACTTGACGGCAAAAACGGCCGAAATCGTGGGCGCCGAACTTTTCTTCGCGCAAGAACCAAGCCGAAAAGGCTCTAGTATGTGTATTTGAACATGGGCCACTCGAATATGCAATAAAATTCATGTTGTTGAATGCTTTTCCCTACGCCTATAGAGATTCACGCGCTTTCTAGGCACTTGGCGGCAAAAACGGCCGAAATCGTGGGCGCCGAACTTTTCTTCGTGCAAGAACCAAGCCGAAAAGGCTCTAGTATGTGTATTTGAACATGGGCCATTTGAATATGCAATAAAATTCAGGTTGTTCAATGCTTTTCCCTACGCCTATAGGGATTCACGCGCTTTCTATGCAATTGACAGAAAAAACGGTCGAAATCGTAGGCGCCGAACTTTTTTTCGCGCAAGAACCAAGCCGAAAAGGCTCTATTATGTGTATTTAAACATGGGCCACTCGAATATGCAATAAAATTCAGGTTGTTGAATGCTTTTCCCTACGCCTATAGGGATTCATGCGCTTTCTAGGCACTTGGCAGCAAAAACGGTCGAAATCGTGGGCGCCGAACTTTTCTTCGCGCAAGA